TCATTTCTGTGACATATTCACCCCGAGCTCCAATGAAAAAAAAGGCTGCAAAACCTAAGAAAGAAACCATTTTGACATTTTTTTTTATTTTGAAGGTATTAAATGATGGAAAAACATTTCAATTACTCCTAAAAATTTCTATCTTTCTTCAATCACATTTTTTAAGACGCACAATTTGCCAAATGCCTACAGTAATGAATCATCATTATATGTACTAAGTGTTTAAACACGAATCTAGAAAACCTGAAGCCTTTTCTAATTAGCTGTGAAATTTGGTAAGAAAACAAATTATTTTTCAGGCCATGCAGCAGGCTCCGAGCATTAATCTGAGACCAAAACCTGAAGCAACATGAGACACGCCCTGCGGCACTCCAAAATCCACCCCAAATCTCGCCCGCTGAAGTGGCACCATATTTGGGAAAGTTCGGCCGAGCGTGGCAGTGACTGCCAGGTGTCATCATGCATTCTTGCACGTGGCACAACTGCAAAACCTCCACAAAACCTGCGCCGTGAAGGTGGTTCAAGGCCATAACTTTAGGTCAACTTCTTTACAACATTGCACTTTTAAGGTCAAACATTCACAATTCAGTCTGTTTGAATAGGGACAAGAAGACTCCATCAAGACGCTAAATGGCACGGTTAATTGAATTTCCGCCTCTTGTCCGCACATCGTAACAATATTCTCACCAAAAATGACAAAGATTTCAAATCAAATCACAGGCAGCACTGTGCTAAATAAGCTGGCACTCTTGTACACTGTAGGGTATCGTATGACCACAGGGGTAGGGTTACTTCACTACCTCAGTTAGGCTGGATCTGACTGGCTGGTTATTTATAGGGCTGAAGGCATTAGTACTAGAGGCAGTTTCAGGGCTGCCCCCAGGCTGGTTTTCAAAGGGTGTCGCCCGCCTTGGCGGGAAAACATTGCCTCAGCCTCTCCGGCTACTCAGTACACGCCCTGGAAGTATGTGGGACAGGGTATGTTGACATGGCATGTGATTCAGTGTGACATTGTGGCTGGATTGGTTGTATACACCGTGTGGTGCACCCTGGTAACAAACTATCTGAGACATTTCCCGAAAAAATTTGAGCCTCTGTATGCTTTGCCCAATTAAGAGATGAAAGTATTTTATGAAATGGGTGGAATTGCTTCATATTAAAGAAAATTTGATTTTTCAGAAGTTGAAATCCCCTGGGAATTGATGTCATTTATGTCAGCTTGTTTGGGGTGAGAAAGGTTGTGGAGGGTTTCAGTTCAAAATTCACTATGCCACAATGAAATTCAACTGATCAAAAGAAGTATAGACACCACCCTGACAAGAACAATTGGTTGTAACAAATGGTTAAAATACATAATCATCCCATATATTTCCATGTCCATTAAGATGACATCAAGAATGATTCACTGAACATCTCTGCAACCAAAAAATTTTAAACTTATGTATGATTGCACTATATATTCTCCTGTATCTCCTCCTGTCATATTTGTCAATGAGAATCCAGGGCATACAGGCAGCAGGAGCTCATCTCACTTGTGTTCAGGGCCAGATTCATCAAATCAGGCCAAAACTCAACCATCCACAATGGTACTGATGCACTCACCATACAAATACTAATTAACCTGTAAGTCTAACCCAGCAAGTCTGGGAAACAATTCCCAACTACTTTTGTCACATACTGCCATTTACACCAAGCTAGTCTGTACTCACTCTCTACTCTCAACCAATGTTATGAAAACATACCTGTTTACCATAAATTCTGCTTCAAGTTCAAAGCATGACCTTGGTGACATCCCACCTGTCACCTTATTATGACAACTGTGGACTGATAACCAGTAGCTGTTGTTTTGTAGAGAGAAAAGCATGACTTGTAAGAAAAGGTGTTGTTTTCCAAACCTAGACCATTGAGGTTAAAAAAAACACCTTGCCTAGACTAATTACATGTCTAAACCTCCAGACCTTAGACAGCTTGCCAGTTCATGGTGTTGTAGTGCCCCCTATTGACACATAGCAGTACTGCAGTATGTAACAGGTGTAACTCTTGCACCTGTTTATATAATGTATCTGCTCTCAGCGTTGGCCCAAAATATGCAGATCTCTCGTGTTAAAAAAAAGTTCACTTAGGGTATTGATGTTTTGTGCAATTTCTCCAGTAGCAACCTCATTATAAACATTTCTCAGTGAGAATTACTCTTAAAATTCATGTCTTCCAGCCTAAAGGATACACTAAGCTATGACAAGTGCTAAATGCACTGACAGTGCCGTGACAACAGTCTATTAGCAGACATTCAAACTTTTCTGAAGCCCCAAACCAAGTATAAGCACATTTAAGTAAGACTTTGGCCCATCTCTATAAAAGGACAAAGAAAACAATTAACTACCGTTTCTGTTGGCGTAAACCTATACTAAAACAATATACAAAGAGGTACAATCAGTGTTTGTAAAATTCTTACCACAGAAAAGAAAATTCAATCTGAAAGATGTATTTCCCTGCCTACTATTGGAAAAAATATGTCATAACTGATGATCATAACTGTCTACCCTTGGAAACAAACTGTCATAACTGATATCTTAGAGTTAGATGTCAAACTTTGTCAAACTGTTTGATACAATAATATTGCCTCACCTCTTTTCCAGGCATACAGCTTGGAGCCAAATTTCACCATCAGGTGAAAAAGATGTAGGAAACAACACTAATGCCATCTGCAGTGCCTGTAAGATTCTCTCTAAGATTCTATGAAGCACATTGAGCAACTGTTGCTGATACACGTTTAGTTGTACGTGATTCAAGCCTTTGGCTTAATCCGGCTCATTTGCATAATGGATGCACCTGTGGGGAAAAAACATGATCCATCCTAATCCCTCCCTGTTATCCAGCTGCTCTTTGCCTAATCTCCAAATCTACCCTTTCCAGGAACCCTCCATCCATCCTCCGGATTTATCCTCACCTTTCCAGCAGTTTCCCCTCTGGCCACACCAAACAGTTTGTTACATGAAAACGTCAGTGATCCATTAGCTGTAGTAATGCCTCCTGACCTTTGTCATTTATGCCGCCACATGCGGCGCGGTGTAAGTGAATCTATCCGACAAGTGTTCGGTTTCAGCACAAAGGCCATTAGGTTCCTCTCATGTAACCACCTGAGCACAGGAGCGCACCCGGTGTCTTAATTTGTTTTTTGATAAACATTCTTTTGACAATTTCTTTCAACAAGACAAGTTCTAGAGTCTGCATCTTCTGCATTTGCAAATGCTAGTCACAACAAGACAGAGGATCACTTCACTTCCAGGAATTCTTAAGTTTATATGTTTGTTAACTACTACTAGTACATGATATACATGTACTTCAATGACAATGAAGGATAAATGTAACAACCTCTGTCTACATTTCAAATCTCTTATACAAATCAGACAAAACCAACAGGATACAGAAGTCTGAGTAGTGTCTGGCTACTTAATTCTTCACTGCCATCAATCTGATTCAATCACATTCATCACTTAATCCGGTGGGTAAAAATATATATGCACAAACATCTCTGAAGTTAATTTTTGAGATCAACAACATCCTACTCACAACGTAAAATTGATGGCAAGCTCACAAGAAACACATTAACACGTTGTCCAATGGAAACCAATTGAAACTTTCATTTTCCCATATATATAGATGCATATATAACACTCAACAGAGCAAGTATACAACTGTACTACAAGTAAAAAACACCTTCCTTGATATGAGCCCAACATATTCATTCCATCCTCATTTGGCTACTCATCTACAACTACAACTTATTTTACTTTGACACAATCTTTATTTTGGCATTGGTGGCCTTGTAGTAAGGGTCGTTGACTCAGAATCTAGACTCTAGAGGTCCTGGGTTCAAATCTCTGGCAGGTCCTGACATTGTGGGAAGGCACTTAACAGTCAAATTTCCTCACTTGACTCGGGTACAATGAGGCTTCAGTTAGGGACGTCCCTTGGATAGGACGTAAAGCAGAGGTCCCATGTTTGAGGATAGTCACACCTCAAACACATTAAACAGCATGTAACACATCATATCCACCACGTTTATAGATAAGAATGAGTAGTGAGGGGATCAACCCGGTCAGTCTGTCAATTCTTACTGACAGCTTGTATTTTACTGTACACAACTGGAACAGGTGTGTTATATGGCTTAAGGCACTTTACTGATCATGTGATGTAAACAGACGTCAGTCAGACTGCTGTCTCGTGTGTATTTGCAAACAGCAGTCTTGTCATATATTTTTGAACAAATGTCCAGGCTGACATTTAAAACACAACATGCCATAACCCCCACCCCAACACACACATGCACACACAGAGGGCACAATCAATCATGAACAAACAAGCCTTCTTGAATTGTTCTCATAATTATTGTATCTGCCACTGTGAACCAAAAATGTGCCATAACACTGTTGCATATCGTCATGGAGTTTACAAAATATCGTCTGCTAGCGAGAGCTATTTTTGCCGCCGGCAATTCAATCTAAACTTTTATCATTTTCGTAACATTTTCATGAAGTTTTCGGCATCTAGCGTATTTCTATGCAAGCTTTTGACGTGCCCGGCATAAACACACCTTTCTATCCTCCAAATACTTGTGTAAAAGGCCAGTATTTGGGTACAAAACGAAGGAACCAGAAACACACATCACTCACCTTTCGCGCCGGTCGTCGTCTGGAGTTTCAAAATGGCGCCCTGATGTCCCGGATGCGGAAGTGGTTTGTGTACGATCACCATGGCAACGGGAGTAACAACCTGCGGGGCCGGGCCGCTTCACTGCGCTACGTCACTCGGTCGTCCCGCACCACAAACAATTTAGTCCGTATGAAATATACCTATACGAAGCATGTTTTGCGTTGTCTGGGACACATATTCATTGCAATAATGTTATAAACGAGAATAGTGCAAAGTTCATAAAAATTCACTTCAATTTTCTTTGTCATAGCCGTAGAATAGATTTATGCGGATGGATATATTCATGTAGTACGGCCGGGGGCGTTACCCTAACGGTGATTTGCATAACCACAACAAGCTTTGAGCATGGCAACTTGTCACGCTGTTTGAGTAGCATAGCTTCTCATTCTGATTTCATAGCGATTAGTTCCTCACAGAGAAGATAGCCACGATGTCGGTCATGGCGCTTAGGGGCCGGGAGCTGACTAGGGAGTCGCTCGGCAGAACGTCGACGTGGAGCGGCGAGGGCTCGGGGTCGATCGAGATCCACGACCGAGAAGTCGCCGACCAGCTCGCCCAGACCAGCCGACGGGAAATTGAGCAGATTGAGGTGAGTCACCATCGGTGAAAGTTCTGATTCCATTGAGGAAAGGACTCTTATTAGTAAGTCTTGTAGCTGAACAAATGTCTGAGTCAAACATAAGGACTCTGCTTGCACGTTGAAGTATGTAACAGTTAAGGAGGCCGCCATCCGAATCGGTAAGAAGACCGCCACTTAAGATACCAGACGTGGACTTTGGTCAACAACAGCTGTGAAAAAAACTTTACAACTACAATATACCTCCTTGGGTGTTGATTCTGTCGACTGTACCATGATTTATAACTAGGAATAAAAGGCTCGAAGAAAGCAGGAACGATTTCTTTTCGGTATTGATTTGCTTCTTGAAGGAGCAGACTTGGTAATCTCAGCCCCCCTCTTGTTGCCACCACACGTCTTACACTTGACCACACCTGACTTACAGGTAACAACACGTCCTGGTATGGGTGACGAGGCTTCTTATGCTCAGGGCCAACTCCTTAACTTGTAACTTCAAGTATACGACCAGAAAATGCCAATCCAAGTGAAATCATGCTTTATTTGACTAATGTCCACAATGACTCAAACCTTAAGTACATGCCGAAATTGGTCTTAAGTTTGAGTAGGTGCATTGACACACATCTTGGACATTTCTTTGCTTGCATGCAGCGCTTTAGTGTTTACTTCGATGGGTCAGTATGTCTAAAGGCATTATAAGAGTTTTATCAGTTGACACCCCTTGCACACTCAGTTGAGCTTAAATCAGGTGTTTAATGCAGATAAAAACTCAGTTGACCTATTTTGTGTCCATGATTAAATTTCTGTAGCAGAGAGTAATTCTTTTTAACTGTGTCATTTCATGCATGTTTGTTGTGAAGCATCTTCCTATCTTTGTCACTGTTGGGTGCTTCAAGCAATATCAGGTGTCAAATGATGATTGTAAGTTTGAGAAGTAACAGGTCTTTTTAAGTGAGGCCATTCATCACACAGTGAATCCTTTTGAACATTGTCTTCCACTTAAAGAAAGTTATGAAATTATGGAAGGATTTTGTCACTTTTACCTGCTTGGAGTATGGAATACAAAATAGCAAGTCATGCTGTCTTTTGCCTTTCTTCTGTGTCAATTTTGCAAAAAAAAAGTTCCTATGCTTATGGGGGTTTTGGGGACAAATTCCCCTTTCAGGGTATTAAGTATTATCTATGTTTTTGCATTTCTGTATCAGGCAAATTTTCTAACGAAAAGTTCAGACGTTCCTTAGGGTGAAAAATCTACGGCTAGATACCACAAAAGGCTCACGACTAGCTCTGTCCATAGCTACAAACATCACGATCTGAAATGTCAGCCAACTGATAAGTCATGGTTAAACACACACCGCGGGCTTCAAAGGGCATTCCCCACTCCCCATAGAGACGCCCCGGCAACACGTATCGCAGTCCACACGAACCTGGAGGACGCAGAAAAAGTTGTGACAACACTGTCGCAACCCCACACGAGGCAATTTAATCTCAGATGGTATTGTGTTCATGGCTCCCCCCGGAGCTGTCAACGCTAATTGATTTCTCCTATTATTTCATCTACCACACCCTCTCCTTTTCACCATGTGCCATTACTAGAACAAACTGATCCAATTTTACACTAGCAGTGGCACTCCAAGTTCCTTTTTCCCATGTGCTGTCTTTATTTCCCCGCAATAACACAGATGGAATGGTAATTAATGGCCATTAAATTGACTCAAGTCACTTACTTTTAGTATTTCCTGAAAGACAGCCAGGTTGCCAAAGGAAGGTGGTTTCTATTGTGTCTATTGTGAAAAGTCATAATGAACAGATGGCTTCTCTTTATTGGAGCTACTAAATGTGATTTCCCTTGGTAAACAGCATAAAACTGCTTTTATGTTTGGAGACTAAATGTGTCCCTTTGTGAGCGATGAGAGAAATGAATTTAAGGCTTCCTTTCGCAGTTATTGTAAGTCGGACCACCTCTGAGAGAAACATCCAGAAAGCCCTAGCAACAAGAACACTAACCACAAGACAGTAAAAATGTGGGAGACAAAAGTTTAAATATACCACACCACCTGTATGTTTCTGTCCTATACTATACATGTGCTGTATACCCTGTGAGTGTCGACAATTGGACCTTTTGAAATTTTGTGATTCTTTGTTTCAAGAACAACTTTAACAGGTGCTAAGCAACAATAGGTTACAACTCAGAGTGCAAAAAAAATGCTTTATCCTGCAAGGATACAACCAGGGAAACTCAATTTTTTCCTATCTTTCCCACACAGCCACAATTTTTTTTCAGTAATCTTAATATTTTGGAGTGTTGACTTTGAAATAACGTAAAGTATATTTCTGTTTGGCAGAGATTGAAGGGTACGAGTCGGGGTCGAGGCATGGGTTCCAGCCAGCTGTGCCGTCCCCGGTCCTCCCCGACGGGCGGCAGTCGGAACATGTACCGTGACCAGCGGGAAGTCAGGAGCGCTCACAGCAGCAGGACCAACTCAGCCATCTCACAGACCGACAAGATACAGGACTGGCTCAACAAGAAGTCTGTTCAAGGCATTCAGGTGAATATAGCCTTTCATTTTACTACCATATGTACTTCATACTAGGATCCCTATACCACTTAATACATTACAATCACATTAGGAACATGCAGATAAAAGTTGTTTTTTCCAGACACATTTTTTAATTAGTCCAACACTGTTTATTTAGGAAGCATAAGGTTTTGTTACCATAGAGGCAACAGGTGAACAATGATAGCTGTAGAACCAAAGATCTAAAATAGGTGGCCTACATGTAAATAATGCATAGAATAGAAATGAATATGGAAAGATAATAAAGAGGCCAGCTATGTGATCTGTGTCGCTGGTCCAGTTTTTCCAGACAAATTGGTGCCATTTGGTGTTGTGTACCTTATATTTGATGGTCAAGAGCCAAAATCACACACACACCTGTTCATTTGATAGACTAGCAAACACACTCAGACAGGAAAACAATTTTATCCAACATTCTCGATACAATAGACATCCAAATAAAGTAACTTATTCCACAAAGATTCTCTTTGACCACCTAGGTCAGTTTGTATGTATAGGCACACTTCTTTAATTAACGCCAAACGAACCGTAGCTTTCCTATATTTGTCGAACAGTTTAACCTTTCACATTGTGCACATATGGGTCAATATTCCTTTTAGCTGGCCATTTCTAATGAATACATAGCTTCAATTAGTGCTATGGACACCACACGAGGATGTAACAGTAATCTGACATGGTTCAGAGCCTGAATGAGACCAGTGTATCATGCTGGTGGCCTCCCTAGTTACCTTTACACTCTATGTGATACAGTATCTATCTGTTCATTGTTGTGACTATTTTGGTTGGATCAGTGTTGTTTTGGCAAGGGTTGTGCTTTGCAAACCTGGCTTACTTGTAAGCGTGGTGTTTAGCGTATCAACAGGCTGACTAAAACACCAGCAACGCTCAACAAAAACGGGACATATCCACGGAGAATGCTCACGATGTCAAGCTATAGGGGAATCTGTATTGTCAGATAGATGTGACATCAAAACGTTTACCCTTATTGGTTAGGATTACCTACCAAGGAGACTTTTGTGTTCTCCGCTTTAGTAATAAACACCTTTTTCAATGGAGTCAAGCCCACACAGTAAACGCTGACGTTGTTGCTAGGTCAACGAGAGCTGTGACTGAAACAAAAAAAATTACAAGCCTTAGGGCAGTCTGCCTTGCATGTAATGAGTTATGCCTTTTACAATACTTAAACATTTTGTGAAGGTCATACACATTGTTAAGGTGCAGAGGGAACGGTGATCGATTTTTTACATGATCTGCCAGTAACCAGGGAAAAGCAGCTGTGCCTCGTAATGTTTTTTATCAAAGAGGAAAGTCAGCGATGTTGGGGACATGAAAGGCCACATAACACTCTCACTTGGCTGCACAATTTTGATTAGAAGAGTAAACATAAGGTTGATAGACAGTGCCTTTGCACTTGGGTCAAGTATCTCAAAGTCCATCTGAAAATATACATTGTCTGCTGCCATACTGAGATGTTCTAGAACAATGCAAAAGTCATAATTGGTCCCTTCCTCTGTAGCCTAGTTACCAGCTTCCTTGCCTTTACACTGCCCAAGTCACCACTTTGCCAACAGGCATAGCAACTCAGAATGGACTTGAAGATCAAGAAGGCTTTAACCCAGGCTATTAAAATTGAATTTTAGATGAATTTTTAGCGGAGCCCACTTATTGCCATCATTTAAGGAAGTGCTTGAAAGCCATCAGTTTTACTAATCCCAAATGCAAATTTACCAGCCTGAGGGTTGAAATGAATAGTCTATATTTAGGATCGATCTGACATTTATGGCTTATGAATTAGAATTTTGACAATAAGATGCATTCTGTACTTAACTGCCGGCTAGAACACAAAACCTCTCTCACCTTTACAAACACAAAGCCTCTCACTCCCCCAGGGCCAGACCCAAAGGTTGTAAAAGGTCAGTCAGAAAGCTCTATACTGTCAGGATAGATTAAGGGGCCCCTTGACAAAAATGAAACGCTCGTAAATAGGTCAAGAGATCAATTGCCTATAGAATGCAATATGTACATGTATGTGTAAAACATTTTCTTTTCTTGTTCTGCAGGAAAAGTATGATCCCAGCAGTAAAGACACAAAGCAGATGTACTCAAAACTGCTGAGGGAAGAAGACACATTTGTACAGGTGAGAATGCTTGAAGTATCTGAGGTAGTCATAGCAGCAAATGCCGTAGCTTGAACACAGTCAAAGAAAAGGCAAAATGTAAAATTTCTCTATTTTTGGGTGCATAACAGGTACATGAGACAATAGGTTATTTTGGTATCTTGGTATCTTTCTGTAGCCAGGAGTCCAGCTTTGTTAGCTTTAGTCCGCTCCCCAAGATCCGCTTTCTGGTAGGGTAGCGGATCTTGGGGAACAGACGTAAGCTAACAAGGCTGGTCACCAGGCTAATCTCTCTGTAGTCAAAAAAAAAATGAAAACTGATAATCTTTATCTCATCTCTCAGGGGTTGCAGTCCATGGTAGATTACAAAAGTTTCCTGGACCTGAGAAAGAAGGAGATTCTCCACAAGAAGTGGGAGGAGCGTGTACACGACCCTCTGCGGAGGGAGATACGGAGGGAGATGAATGGTCCCATGTACCCAGAACTGGACAGGACAAAAAGAACGCTGCACCAGAAATACCTGGACTATCACAACAAAAAGGTAAGCACCTTTCTTTCACTCACTTAAAAGTGCTCAATGCAGTGAAAAACAGATTCCTAATTCTGGTCATTTATTTACATAGTAGGATGAAACAGCACTATTCCATTGTATGTCAACATTCATGAAGCAAAAATGTGACATTGTTGCATGGTGAGAACTTGTTGAAAATCTGCTTCACACAATGCATAATAATATTGTAACTTCATCTTTGTATTACATGAGCAACACAGCATTCTAGAACAAGGATGCTTACAGTTGTCTTGTACTAAACTTGAGAATGTTTTAACCTCCACAGGGTACAGTATTTCTGGACACCATGTCTCCTAAGGAGTATGATCCCCTCATCCTTATTAGCAACAGACCACAGCCTCTTAAGGTGGGTGAAGACTCAGTGGATTCATTTCTTAGCTATTTCCTGAAAGACTTTGCAGTACATGTGTAGATCTGAGGCACTAAAATGCTACTAATGGTTAAAGCAAATGAGGTACCTTTGATAAAAGCTTAAAATTGTAAAACTGTTAAAAAGAGTCTGCTCTATGCAGTTGGGTGTTCTTTAGGGTAAATTTTTTGTTGTTTCCTGAAATGTTGAGTATCTGTGTATATACAGATACAGACATTCATGGTACTGGTGTAATATGTTTACTAAACATGTTTTATTTATCCCCCAGGCACAGACACCATTGTTGAGAGATCCACTCATTTCTCAAGGCAGGGAGAGGACAGATGAAGACAGAACTGTGATCAGATGTCTCACAGGTAACATTCCTAAACATTGTCTTGATCAGCATGTAGGTACTACATATCCTTTTTCATATACTGTCACTATGCATTAAAATGAATTCATGTCAAGTGTAGCCAGCATTCTTAATCAAAGATAATTCAACATACTCCGAGTGGTAATACGGTGAATTTTGTCTTGGCTGAAGGCTGAAATATCAACATTTTAAGGATCAGAAATGTCATTTTTGTATGTTAAATTTTTGTGTCCATTTTTCCAGGTAAAACCCTTTCAGAGCGGGAGGTGGAGCAGCATAGGTTGCCACAGCTCCCCCTAGTGCCTCTGGGCCGGCATGGCACCGAGTGTCAGACCTGGCTAGCCATGCCACTCACAGACATCAACAGTCAAACCAGGCTAAAGAGCAGGTCAGTTCTCATGTCCCAACTGTTAGTTTGTAGTATAATACAACTATGTAGGCATAAAGTAGACATGAAGAGGCTTGGATTCTGTACTTGTAGGAATCAACAGCAAGTCAGAGTGCTAACGAATATTCCCTGATATAGTGTTCAGCACCAAGGACAGGTGTGAGTTACAGAACAGAGGGATTAATTTTAACAATCTTCCTGAAAATCAATGAAAGAAACAGGAAAGACAGTTTTCTACATTCCTAATCAATAGCAGTATCAATCCTTCAAGAGAAACAAAAAGTAATACCATACAGAAAACTTGGTTCCAGTGTTAAAATTCTGTAAGACAATGTGTCTTGTTGTCTTGCCTAAGAAGGTTTGGATAGAAACACACTAATGTTCAGTACCAGTAACATGTTCTAGAACAGTATTGAAACTCTATACAGTAACAAACATCAAGCATTGTTATGTCATAGATTTCAAAAGATACAATAACAAATGTGTTCACAATGCAAAACCACAGTTCAATTCAAGCATCCTTACTTGTTGGTTGACACACATAATGAAACCCCAATATTGTACATTTTGACAAGTCTAACATGTGTTAAATCTGTATTACAGGAGGAGAATGCATGGGAACTACAGCACCAGCCACTTTGACTTCCCCACCACCTGGTCTAGCCAACCTGAGGAACCCTTCTCACTGGTTATGGAGGAATGGGAGAATGACAAGAGATCCCTGTACGGCCATCAGAGATTACCTTTCGCTTCAGTCGCTCCAGTCACCTCTTAACACTTCTAGACTTCAAGTCTTGGTGTTTCTTTTTCCAATTCTATAGTTATTGTTGCTGTTGTGTTGAATGTAAGAGAAATATGAGATTTTCTGTTTGGATGTACGTGAAAAAATACTACATGAGGGCTTAAAAATTGCACTTTGGGATATTCGCCATTCATACATGCTACAGTAACACAAGTAGTTACATATTAAGTCATTTCTGGTCAAGGAAACAACATTGTAGAGGTGTTTCTATATTCATATAATGGTGCCAGCATTAGCAACCTGCTCAGAGCAGTTGCAGTTGCAATGTGTTTTTAGCGAAAAGAATCTGTTGTTGCCTGCTGTATCTTTGTACTATAATTGTAACGATGCTGCTACTACCATATGATGGGGATATATTTTGTGAAATTCTTCTAATGCATACTTGTATGCTATGGTTACACACCAAGAACTTTTGCTAAAAAGACTAAAAGCAAACAAAATACATTGTTTGTTGACTACTTGTAGCAAAATTCATTTTTAATTTGTCCTTACACCTGCTGGACTATGTCAGAATACAAAATACAAATTCAAAAAATTGTAAAAACTTTTATACTGTACAATGGTGTTGATTTACATGGGTATCCTTGCGACATATTTTTTCATCTCTTGTTCAAGATGCAACTATGCAATAAGAGAAATTGCTGCTATGTATTTCATTTGTTCCACAAAAAACTGCTGACAATACAATGCTTTATACTTAGTAGTCAATCTTTTGTTTCTGACTACCATGCAATTTGTACATACAGATATGTAAAAAGGATATTTTGCAGTGAACAGAATTTCATCTGAATAAAAAAACACTGAAGAAGAAAATTCCTTTGTTGTTGTCTCCCTCAACTTACATGTGCATCTACAAGTTCATGCTAAATAACATAGTGTCAGTTCTTGTCAAGTAAATAGCAGAAAAAAACTGAACTATAGTCAGCTACACAAGACAGAACAAAATTGGAAATTTTCAGCAACTCATCAAACAAAACAGAACAAAACAAATTAAAACGTCCACATAAAACTGAGGAGAAATTCAAGTTCATACAAAAAAATAATAATTCTATCTTTTACACTGTGTAATCAATTTGCCAAGTTCTGTAGACTTGAACTAGCAGATCAGAACAGACCTGAGCAAGGCAGAGTGGCAGAACTGCCCCAGCCCCTCTGAGGGGTCCTCGAGTCCATCAGCTGTTGGAGGGTGGCCTTGTCCAACATTGCCAGGTGCCTGTCTGAGATGCCTTCTGCTGCATCATCAGATACAGTTGAGCTACAAAATGAGAGACATAATTTCAGTATTCTAGCAGTACGTCATTTGAAAAACATCAAATTGAATCTATTATCATGGCATCTTCTGACACCGCCCATCAATACAAATAAATCTACAGACTTAGGTTTTGTTTAAAAAGTGAAGTGCATGATAAACAAATATTTAAAAAATCTTTCCAATCCATAATACAATTTACATTCAACTTTAACTTTCTCCCTGCTTAAGTCCAATTTGGTAGCAAATTTGCATTGGTTATGGGGATAAACATATGAGAGGAAACCATAGGAAAGAAAAAAGTGGCGTACATTGCCTGCTCCTTCTGCCTGAGCAGGTGGGCCAGCTGCAAACTGTCCAGCTTGGTGTCCACTCCTCGGTACTGCAGCCAGTTGTGGGCAGCCTCCCTCCTCCTCCCCATCCTCCATAGCAACAGGGTGTGGTTGTACATGGCAACCGTACTGTCTGTGGCATGGAGAAAACACAGGGTACTTTTATTAGGCAAGGTACTGCAAATTTGGAAAAACTACATGCACTAAATTCAAAGGTACATGTCACTGAGTGGCTAGCTGGTGAAGTTGTTGAGACTCTAACCCTAACTCTAACTAAGGGTTTTGACATTTGCTGTGCCCAAGGACCATAGGGCTGAGGCGACTGGCAGTTACCATCAAGCCCCAGCATCAGAGTGCAAGCACATCTACATGTAACCCTTGGAACACGGGGAACAACAGACGTTAAACCGGATAGAGAGAGACAGCGATGTGTATCCGCAAGTATAATGAAAGCTTATAATCGCAGAGAGAAGAGGGATCCAAAGTAACTGAGTTTTGAAACAAGGAAGATAGTAACTGGAATGCAAGAAGTGGAATGAAAATATTTCTGTTAATCTCTGACTATTACCTGGATTAGATTGTACACTAAGCCTCAGGCACTGGAGGGCGGCCGGTAGTTTGTCCTGACCAATCAGAATCAAGCCCTTATTCTGATAAGCTTCTGCCTTCATCGTCAGTAGTTTTCTTCTGACCTCTGACACCTCTGAAGTAGAGCCACTATCAGGAACTATAGGGAGAAAACCTGTAACAAACGAAGGACCATGTCACTGGCTGTTATTTTTGTAGCAGTTTTATCACAAATGCTCAAGCTACTGTTAGGATCAAAATATATTCTAGTAACCAAACTTGTCATCTATTAAATGAAAGTACATGAAATGAAAGTACCAGTATTATGTCCAATCCAGCAAAGGAAAAACAAATCTGACTGACCTTCCTCAGTTCTTCTTCTCTTCTGGGTAGGTTGTGAAGAATCCGCTCTCTTGTATATCTTATTATCTGTATGAGATTCCTCAGGTATGATATCGCACAGCATCTTCAGCAGCCTGAAATAGAAGTGTGAATGTAGGTTAACTTGTAAGCACTTTTGAGAGGGGTTTTAATGTCATGATCAATGATCATACTTTGTAAATGGCAAAACCTTACAAACACAAAATATGAGTTTAATATGTTTGAGGGCATCAATGATTCTATTCCTTGATAAGCAGTAATTTCATTTCTAAGTAAACACAATGCAGCCAAAAGTATCCTTTAACAATACAGTAGCAAACCACATATTGTATGTGTATCATAGATGAACACAAAGTCCTCACCTATTATAGCAGCCAACTGCCTCTTGGTACTCCTCCAGTCTGTACAGTGCTTCTGCCTTGTACATCAACGGCAGAACACTTTTCAATCTACCGTTGCAGATCTCTACATTTTCTCTAACACTCTGCATTCCTCCTTGCTCACTGGGTTCTCTCCCTCTCTTCTTACTCATTTTTCCAGAAGTTCTCTCTTCAGAGTCTTCGTATGAATCAAACAGATCATCTCCACTGTCACAACGATTGCTTGAGGGGGGGACAGAGTCTTCAAATTTTAAAGAATCATGGGAAGTCTGCACTGCACCATGGGATTGGCTGAAAGCATTATGGGATAGACTGAGTGGATCCAAGTCAGTCTGCCATTGGTTGTGAGGTGGGATTTTTGTCAGCAGTTTGTCACAGATGGATATGGCGTCCTCGTATCTGTGTGCCTTCAGCAGAGAAAGTGCTGCTTCACAGTACACAGTTTGTATATCCAGCAAGGGATAGGGGCTGCCAGTCTGTGTTGGTGCCTGGAGAAACAAATTCAACATTTCTTTACCATTTTCTAAGTGTGACAAAATGACAACTCTAAAGATGTTATGAAACTTAATACGTGTACATCTTCTTATGTCTAAGAACAAAATGCAGGGTCAAAAAAATGCTAATTTCAAAACTGTTACAGTAAAAGTAGTTTGCATTCAAGTTCCCAAGAAAAAGCAAGATATTGTAAAACCATGACTGTATGTATTTTCTAACTGAAATTCTTTCCCATGTGTCTGGTGAAACAACATAGTACAGAACACCTACTTGCATCACTGGTGCCTCCAGGACAGCTGCCAGCAAGTCCACATATCTCTGAGCAGCTGCCTCATACCTACATGATTAAGGAAAGGTCACAGATTAGACTGGAAAGAAGTGGAGGCTATTCATTACCTGGACAAAGTATGTCAGACACACATTAGACAATAAAATAGGTGGTCACCAATAAAATAGGTGGCATTTTTACCCAAGGAGAACCTCCTTGGTTGTACTTGGGAGTAACATTCGTCAGCTCATGCTAAGTTGATAGACTTTCAACTCTGCTCTTTGAGCAACTGCAGTTACTAAAAGGCACTACAAAATTCAAAAAGTTATACATTTCAATGGATAAGAAAACAGCACATTTGAGAATAAAAATACCTTTCTTGTTCCAGACACCTTTTAGCCAGGACATACAGGGCTTGATGCAGCAGAATAGAACTAGACTGTGGGTCTGTCAGCAAGTTAGCTCCAGGTGCTGCATTGTTCAGCTGTAGCACCAAGTCTAGCACCTGATGATTCTTACAGCTGTCTTTTCTGCTGTCCTCATTTTCTAATGCCTGCAATATCAATATAACCACAATGTGATACAAATGAAATAACAACACTTAAAGCTACAAAAGTCATAAAATGATGTTGTTTAAAATCATAACTTTTTTTCAAAATTAGTATCTTAACTGATGGATTTTCCAGAACAAAAACTTTCATGCTGATGCTGAACTACAGATCTAACTGATTGAAACCTTTCACCCAATGAAATTTTGAACTCAAAATTCCCCATCCATTTTTTTACAACTGCCAGAATAACATGATACTTTACTTACAGTGACTAACAAGTTGAGTGTTTCCAGCTCGACATCCCCTAGCCCCAGAGCTCGGTACTGCAGGGAGATGTTGTACAGGGCCATGTGGAGGGAGAAGTCACACTGCAGGGCTTCCCTGAACAGCTGGACGGCTGTGTGAGGTTTACCCTGGTCACAGAGAAGGGTGTGTGCAAAAAAAGTTAGAGCTGTTCCAATATTAAGTTTAAAAGGGTTACTTTTTCTGAAATAAGAGATGCTAGACAACATTTCAAACATTGGTGATATGACTTTTCCAAGGGATCACAATGTAGCATTCAATGTAAAAAGGATTTACACATTATCTTTAAGATGTGTGACTAACATTTGATGTGTAATATGTTACAAATTAAAACAGCAAAATGTCTTGTTTTCTGTGTTCTCTTACCTTCAGAGTTCTTTCCCATCAATGAAAAAAAGAGATGAGAACCAAGTAATCTTTTAAATCTTTACTTTTAATGTCCTCATTGTTTACTACTAGTTTTCCCACCTGTTGTGCACAGCAGCAGCCCATGAGGTTGAGTACCCTGGCCTTGGAGCACATGTCTAACACTGGAGAGCTCAGGCAGTCCTGGAGGGCCAGGATAGACTCTTCATACCTCTTCTCACCATACAGCACATAGCCTGTGTGAGGAGACAAAAAAGAGTTCAGAAGGCATTACAGCTTCACATATCCAGGAGAGTATCAAAACAACACTTCAGCCTTCTCCTGGCAGAATAGCAATGCAGACAATGCAAACAAGTTTTTAGAGTGATCAGGTAGTTCTTGGCAGATTTGAGATCTAATTCTATTAAATCAGCTTTTTTTTCTTTCCAAACAAGCAAGTGTTGACACTCAGTCATTTCCTAATTATCACACCTAAAGAGTTATTCTGGTTTCCCCTAATCAGTTAACTATTTCCTTAAAAAATTAACACTTCTGACATACATGTGAGTGTGACCCCTTTAATGTACCTTTCAGATAAGATGCAGGAAGAAACTGTTGGTCTGCTGCTGGTCTCTCCAGCTCCTGAAGGCACACAGCTGTGTTCCCATCCAGGTAGTAACAGCAGGCCAGCAGGTACTCAACTGGTGGATGCTGACATCTGCTGTCTTCATCTAATAAATGGCAAAGTTTCAATTCTTTGAGAAAGTTGGCCAGGGCTGGGTTATTGTTACTGGGTTACAGAAATTGAAAAGTCATTCTTTTCTAACCAAATGAAAAATCAGTTAGTAAACTTGAGCCATGGGACAGTAATTAAACCAAGAGGGCGTAACCTTAATTTAGGTAATGTAACCCTCAATTAGGGTATTTCTTACCTGTCCCCAGGACACAGCTTGGTATGAGATGAGGCTGTATGACACACCCTTTCCCTGATGCTGCAGTGTTTCCTTCTGATTCAGAGGATGTTTGAGTCTTACATGTCTTGACAGTCTGGAGTATAGCTGAGGATTTGTCTCTCTGACTTCCCAGCAACCTCAGGGCCAGGAGGGTGGCAAGCAAACACACAGGTTCTACAAGGTCTATGGAAGAAACACAGAGACAATTATACTGATCAATATACACATGTTCCTTGATATTCTTTAACAAGGTTGGAATAAAGATGTGTATCCTATATAATATATTCAGTACATTACAATTAGGCATACACATGTAGTGCACTTTTATGGACATTCATTGTTTTATGGACACAATGAATGTCACTGAATCAGTTATAATAATTGTTTATCAACCCACCTGTGCCTTGTGCCAGTTGTATGACATGTTTGAGCAGTACAGTAACATCAGGGTCAGGGTTCAGTAACCTCTCCACTGTCAGCACTGCCTGTCCTGACTGGGAGGCTCTCAGAACTGTACAAACACACAGATTTCACCAAAAAAAATTTTATTTGTGGCTTCTACATTATGAAGACTGTCAAAAATAGCTTTATACTGCAAGAAGGAAAAATGTTGAACCACCAGGAAAAACAAATTGTAAACCAACATCTTAACTCAAATAAGCTTTCCTGGTTTAGTACAAAGTGTAGTATGGGGTACCTCTTTGCAATGCACCACAAAGTGCTGTGCTCAGATCAGCTCCCCCTTGAGGTTTACTGGTGTATTGCAGGTAGCACAGGTTGAAGACCACCGGTAGCTCCACACACAGGGATGGGATCCTAGGTGGCAGGCCTGGCAAAATAGGAAACATGAATAAAGTTTCTTTCATGATACAGTCTTAAAAAGTGGACGATACTATTGGGTATGTATTTGGGAATCTGCAATTACCTTTTACTGTAATTCTATGTCATCCAGGACCTGAATCCAGTCAAACAGTACATAGCTGCTGTCTTCCTGAGTTTAGTGTGTATCATGATCAGGTTTGTTGTTGTAACTTACCCTGTATCTCCTTCACAAGTCTCTGGAATTCTGACTGCAATGTGAGTCCATTGTGGTCTTCTGTCTGTGGTAAAAGAAAACAATTCCATAACTGACCCTGGTTTTCATGCCACTGAAACACTCGACACCTTGATAACTACGTAATGTATTGTGCATATAGTGCTTTGGCAGAACATGCTAGTATGTTCTGCCAGAGAGCTCTTACCAGGTATTGTTGAACAAGTCTGTTGTTCTCTGTGGTCCATCTCTGTAAGAATGAGGGTTGGCGCTTCTTCATTCTCCTGTACTCATGTCATCCACTCACACCTGCATCAAAACAATTTGGTCAGTTGTGTCTTTAGCAAGCTTTTTTTTTTGTCATTGACCAGCATAATATCATATCTCCCGTCTTTCCCTTTGCACATTTGTCTCACACAATAAATTTACTATAGCTCTTAAGTACGTTCACGTATGGATGTAGATTCTACTCAAACAGATCAGTGCATGTTCGACTACAGAGCTCTGGATCACCCTCAGAAACCAGAAATGTCGGTGCACTGAAAGTGATGAGCGGCCTTAACTGGAACCTAAGCTCCTACGTGGCCGAAGACATCTACTCTACTCTACTCTACTCTACTCAAAAAATCCTCTTCTTCTGGTTACTGACGACTACTGCCATGTGGGGAGGGGGGCAGGTTATGTCTGAAACCTAACGTGTTTACACGACTTGGCAAAGACAGAAGTTACTGTATGGTCAGTTACGTGTATAAATAAATAAATGAATATGCTTAGCTACTAAATAGCTCCTAAACGTGTCCCTAAATGCTGTCACAAGGTATCTCACCTTCTCCGTCAGTTTACACACGCTTGTTTTTGCCGCCATCTTTTCGTCTGACCTGTGACCCGTTGAAAACGCCCCCTGCCGATCCTATTCCAAAGCGCAACACAAAGAAGTGATGCTAACTTCGATGGCAAACTGCACTTCATTACAATACCTACGATGTCTATTTCTTGTACTCATTATTGTGAAGAAAGAGTAAAATAAAACAGCCCAAATCAGTAGTAGCCGACGAACCAAGCGGCTTTTAATACAACAAGGAATCAAATCTGCAGAGATAAGTTGCGGAAGTACTGAACTGATATTTTGGGTTTTCATGCATGCATTGGAACTGCGTGCCAGTGCGCATTGAGAGTATTGTGTGATCAAGGAAGCTCCTTGGTGTGATACATTTATATCCAATCGGGTATTACACAACTGCCTGAATTCCTCCAGATATCACCCCGTGACTTTATACTCACGCCGGGCGTACGTGTACCTGGTCACCTGCCCTTCCTCATGATCTATCAAAATCACCTCCCAACTGGACAGACCAAGGACATAATTATAATGTCCTTGGATAGACAAAGGCCCAAAACCACGACTCAACCAATCAAAACCATTAATATCCTTCAGTACCCGGAGATGACAAGCAACAACACATCAACGAACACCCATTCATCAATCACTTCAACTACAAGCCCTTTATTTTGTTATGACGTCGACGTGATTGATTCTACTGGCGCGATTTCAGAAAGGGCGCAGAGGTCACGCACGTGTCAATGTTTGTCTGGTGACATCATCAAATTTTCATGTGTACACTATGTGATGATCAGGTACATGCAGCATCTACTATTGTAATGAGACTGCGAAGGCTGTTATGTGGTGTACCTCAGTGCCTATCACCCGGTATCACAAGACTACTGCATGAGCCATCCAAACAATCGCCCGTGTATTATGGACATGTTTGCCGTTGAAACCTCTTCGTCACACGACCAACGCTGCAGTGTACATGTCATCATTTCGAGAAAATTCTATGGACAAACGTTAGCGGTGCGCTGAAATCTTCAAGAACTCTGTACGTTATATTTGGTCCCTTCAAGGTGAGTGAGGCAATCTGTAGTAGTAGTAGTAGTAGTAGTAGTAGTAGTAGTAGTAGTAGTAGTAGTAGTAGTAGTAGTAGTAGTAACGTTAAGCCTTTATTTAATCTCGAATCTGTACTCTCAGCCAATATTCCTGCACATTATATGCACATTTCTAACAAATTATTTTGACATTTTTATCAGCAACCCTCGGTCAGTACCGGTAGAGCACCGGTATTGCATAGATCTGACTTTATATGTTTTGATATTGTGTCAGGTTTAGAAGACTCCACGAATCTAAACTTAAGTCAGCACATTCCGTAAGGATTTTTCGATCAGAAGGTACCGAACTCCAGATGACGTGGATTTGCATCCCGGCTATACGGGTCGCTGGAGGAGAGAAGAGCCTCTCACACAAAAAACGACCTCAGTGACACGTAACGTACGTGTGGTTCCGACAGCTTAGTGTCCTCTTTTGACTTTTCTGTCATCATTTCCTTTCTATCTCTCCAGCTGTTACAACTGATGATCGACCGTACAACCAAGAGAAAGGACAGCTGATCCACAAGTCTGGATTCTGTTGAACACGTTGCAAACTGTTGAGAATCCTCCACTACCGAGGAATGTACAGAACGAACCATGCGTATCACAGGTGAGATGCTTCTATTTACCCTACCCGCATCTACTATTCCCACAAGTATGACCCAAATACTGTATCGCAGACAAGCAGTTTCCATCGTATGAAGGGGAATTGTATTGGATAAGGTGTACAGAATACTTTTTGCTTGGTTTTTCGTATATACGTGATCTGCACACGTTGACGAGATAGCACAATGGTTGTTGCCAATTGATCAAGCCACAATCACTACTATCGTTTTTTCTGTTTCAATTTACTAAATCAGCTACGTAGACGTGGAATGTAAAAGGTTGCATATTGTATCTATGATACCTGACAGTCTTGACAGCTTTACGACGACGTACTTGTCAGATCTGTGGTTACGGTATTTGAGACGGAAAGCAGGCATGTATGTATACGCATCTTCAGTATACTAGTAGTCTAGATACTTTGTTTCTGGTTGACAGCATATTTTGGCCCAAATTTGCTATCAAACGTACCGGCGGCTAGGAATAATAATTTTGATGCATGCAACACGACAAATTTGCAAGTGAATAAACCTTATTGTGTGCTTTATATGATAAAGGACCAGTAGTCGTATTTTTTCCCGTATACGGGTACATAACGGTCGGAGACAGGTTTATATGCTTACAACGCTGCTGAATGATAGACGGTTTTGAAGTTAATACCCCCAATATCCAGGTGCAATCATGCAGGAAATAGGGCACCACTGAATCTATGCCAAAACCATTGCATGTGTCTTTGAAGGAAAAACACCTCCTACAATAGACTTAAATATACGGCACCTAATATAATGAACAGGTATTCTGTTTTGTGTTATCCTATATAAGATATATCGATAGCGTGTTTTCCATTAACCTCCCCCTGTTCCCCGTATGTACCGGAGGACTGTAGATTGTCTGCGGCGGGGTCCCAGAGGGAAGTGCCCCGCATTGAACCGACATTAGCCGCCCATCATTGTTCCCTGACAGCTACATTGTCGGGAAAATGTTGGGCAGATGTTTCAGGTTCCCCAAGGATGATGTTGAACTCGTCGGTCACGAAATTCTGGTCAGCAGGGAATACTCAGAGATTCACCTCATAGGATCACCAGTCTCATGTTTTTCGCGATGATTTTGCCCATTGTTGTCAGTATTTTTACTTCGTGACAACCACAACATAGTTTATAGTTGAGATATGCTGTACGGCTGTAGATTTTTTTATATTCCTTTTTTGGCGACGCCTCAGGGGCGGAGGCATTTGTGTAAGTACTGCGATCGCTTTGAAAGAATTTCAAAAATTGCATGAATGCATTCCCTAGGGAATTGGTTTTCAGATAGCCTCCGGCCTTGTGGTCATCGGAACAAGCAGGAAAGGCTTATGTTACCGGGCAAAATGTGGCTTTTTGCACACAGAATATTAATGATTGTCTTTATTGATATTTCAAATATGTTTTCTTCTATCAAGAGAGCACAAATTTCTTGCTCAGGAGCAGCATATGCTTCAAATATGTTTTTAGTTGCAACTATATGATGCTGGTCGTTTTTTATAACTTTACTGTGTGACACATGTAGTGTAACAGTGATGTTTTGTGTAAGGAATTTTATTCACTTGTGTGTTTTCTATCATGTATGTTTGTGTCAGTCTTGCTTTTTTATTTATTATTTTCTTCGCTTTCATGATGCTGTTGCATTCCATGCTTGTTTTTCAATTTTCTTGGCTGCAAAACATGAATGCACACCCCAATCCTTCCACGACTAGGTTTCATGCTAAGGTTTCATGCTAGCCAGTGAACTCCTGCTGTAGTCTGCATCTCAGGGTGGACATGGCGAAGTTTACCTGTGGGTATAAAGAGAGAAAAGAGCATAAATGAATCTATGCCAACTTTGGCCAGCTTTGATTAATTTAAATTACTAGTAACAAGATTTAGGGTATGCAAAGCATGTGAGTCGATTAATTTTACAGAATGCAATGAAGCAGACACATATATATAACACATTTTCTGGCAATGAAAATTGCGACATCATGAAGTATACATGCCGTATGGGATTTTGCTGCCAGGTAATTATGAATAGCCTGCGTGCCAGACCCCAGCACTTAGAACAAGGAGCTTAAGTCCTTGCTTGGAATAAAGAAAGTGCTTCTTCTTTCTGAGACTCTTGACCAGGCCTCTATACTGCCCAACACGCCACAGTTTCGGAGCTGGCTTCCTTCTTCAGTTTATCTAGACGTATAAATTAGACCCCAGCTGCAAATTCTGTGTTCCAGGCGTGAGATTTCCCTGACTGAATTGAGTATCGTGGCACAGGGGCCTGGCACCCAGGCTACACTGTTTCCCGGCAATGACATCATAGTAAATATGGTACCGTATTTCAAAACACGCAGCTTTTCATGAAAGAAGTACTATAGATATGCGTACATTGCCTAACCATCGTGGTTATGTACAATATTGCATGATGATGAAATAAGGATGGTTAGGCACTCACCAGGTATTTTGTTCCACTTTTCGATTGTATTCTTGAGTAACTGCTGTGTTTGTCGTCATGTAGAGCTGAAAGAAACAGTGTAGAACAGGTTAGCGAAGTTTGTTCCATTCTAGGGTTGCGTTATTCAGCATAGTTCGACAGCGTTCAGCTTGACTGCGGATGTGAAACTTGACCTTATTATAGTTTAAGAGTTTGACTTGTTCCAACACAAAGAAGAAACTCACCATAAGGTTGACGGGTTGACGGGATCAGCCGAAAATTTATGGTGAGTTTCTTCTTTGTGTTGGAACAAGTCAAACTCTTAAACTATGTATTCTACCAACACAGATGAGCTTTCATTCGAATATTGACCTTATTATGTTGGGATGTCAGAATACGGGGAAATAATATCAAGTTGCAATTGTGTGAATTATATTAAGTTGTTAAAACCAAAATGGTGTTGACCTAGAGATAAGTATACAACGTACTGAAACCGCCTCTGTGCACTGAGATGGTCTCCGCTGTTCGGAACCCTGCGTCGTTGGCAGGTGCGGTCAGTTTAGCACGGACAGGGCATAACCTTATATGCCGGCACTGGTGTTCAGTGTAGAACAGTAGGTGTCCCTCTCTGCATGTCTGAGGTTTACTGGAAAGAAAGACAAAACAACGCCCGGGGTTACTGATCAGGAGAGCCTTGACGGAGAGAATTAAGGGTAAGGCCGGAAAACCCCGGCGGAACTGGGCGTCAGGTGGCTCAAACTTTACATAAACCAGAATTCCAACGTTCTTTCATACGTCGGACGAAAGAAAACCAGCCGCTAAAACGAGCAGCTATAAAAACAATTCACTAACACACTGATCGTCGATACCTGATAAAGACCGGTCGGATTTGTAATGAAATACTGACCGAATTCTGTAAAGCAAAATGGGCGGAATAAACCACACAAAGAACAAGATGAGTGAAGTCAGAAAAACGGGTGTTAGAATCTTCAAAATACGTTTCCAAAAATAATTTCATCAGGTATTATACTAAATTAAAGTGAGTGCTAAATTACTCCAGAATAGCCTGGCAGCCAGACCATGTATGCTTCCGGTATCTCACGGTGGTGCTGGCAGCACTGCCCGCCCGCCCAGGGGAATTTTATGCAGGGGTATTTTACCGGGTCGGTTACAGGACGACAATAATTAGAAACTTTCAAAGGCCAGCTGGAAAGATTTGGCATACCAGCAGAGTATGGCTGCCAGCTGGGGCCTGCAAAATATTCCTAAGCCACTAATATGAACAGAAAGGTTTTGTCGGAAAGGGTAGAATATCAAGTAAGGCCGGTGGAACTTAACGTCATGTGGCACACACTTTTAATGTGAAAGCTCCTTGATCAGTAAACTAAAATTCTCTCTACGCGTGTGGTAACCAGCCAACAAGCAACTTTAAACTTTCTCTAACTCAGTGATCGACAATGATGTATCAATCAGTCATAATATAACAACACCCAAATTCTGACACCGGAACTTTGAAGACACAATCAAGTACTGTACTTTGCTAACATCACACAAATAAAACGTTTAGGTCACGCTGACTACATGATCGATACTCTGCGCGGCTGATATATACGGCCATCGAATCAGTTAACAAGAATTTGTAATTCAAAATTTCCCCAAACCACTGCAAGTGATACTAGTACTAGGAACAAATTAGTCAATAAGCTGCTAGTAAAGAAAGGGGTAAAGCCGATTAGATTCTCTGACTAAGCGCCCCCATTTTATGCCCTTGTAACACGCCTCATTGAAGGCGAAAACCTATTCTAGTTTTCTACTCTGAGGCTCAGTTTTTCCAAGGTTAGTAGAACTGTTCCTCCTTGGCACTATAGGTCTGAATCTTTGTCAGAAACTGTGGTGTACGTGATAAATGGCGTCACACATATACTAAATAGTGATGACCCATTTAAAACCACAATAAGGAAATACCCGGGACACAACAACATAGCGAGATCCAAGAACACCAGAATAACATAGAAAAAAATGTAGAAATCTAAAAAAAAGTCTGCTTGAAAAATACCAAGAATTTCAAACAGAAGTAGACGAAAGTTTACTTCACATTCGTATACAGAGTACTCGTACAAAGCACATACTAGTACACGAGAAAATAGCAAGTGGGTCAAGGAACTGTTATGAAATACGGGCGACTGTCGGTCAAGATACTAGTAGCCTGGTAGCCAGACAAAGGCAAACTTCCCAAAAATTTCTCTACGTATACGGTGACGGGTGATCAACCCGCCCAGCTAGTTCAGGATATAACAAGATGTAGGTTTGTTGTCCACAGTCAAGTTAAACACTTAACAAATAGACATGTGACACTGCAAAAACACGGCTGTGATAGCAAAATTTACACAGATACGATTATGGCATATTTCAACATAGGAAGTACCATTAAAACATACCTTTTCAATAGCTTCAACCTGTCCTTCGTAGGTTCATCTGTACCTCTACGGCTGGGGGTACTGTCCGCCCGCCCGGCTGCCCGCTCCCCGCTGGCCCGCCCGGCCGTCCGCCTGCTCTCTGCTCGCCCGGCCATTCCTGTCCGATCTGGTCCCCGCTCGCCCCGACTATCCAACATATAGGAAGGTGTACCAAAGGTTAATGGGTTTTCCGAATTCAGAGATTTTTACACTTTCCACTCGGTTGAAAACAGTGAGTCGTTCATTTGCTTGCAATTGATAGGGTCTATAAAGTAAAGAAGGCTGTAGAGCATTATTATTATGAACATATAGGAAAGTACACAAAACATTTGAGAATATAGAGATTTTGGCCCTTTAGTAAGATACATTTTGCTATCTATAAGGGCAAATAGTTTCATGGACAAATCAGTACAAAATAACCTACAAGTGAACGTTCTGAAACATATCTTACAGCATTTGTGTGCACACATTTAAGTTACCCAACAAAGTAATACTAACCTGATTCTGTCGGTGGAATTCCGAAGGTTTACTGGGGAAGGTTTCCTCAGAAGCCACGGGAATGGTCCTCTTTTCAAGACTATTAGATCATCGCATCAGAGAACACGTCTGTTCCATCACACAGCTACAGCCGGACTGAGGTTTGGGACTGGAGTTTGCAAGAAAGAGTCTGGAAACTCCGCCCCCTAGTCAGTATCATGTTTCCTAGATCCCATCCTATTGGCCTATCTTAGAATAACAGTAACCTAAACTGGCGGTATCCATTACCTCAGAGTAATGTACACCGGGCTATCCAGTGTCCAGCGTGATTAATTATTGTCACCTGTCATCCCGCACACCATGGATGGAGAGCACAGGTTCAAGCAAAGGGCAACGACCCCTTGAACAGGGATCTGGCCCGCGAGGAGTGGGTTTATCACACAGAGAGAAGAAATTATCTGTATTTTGGGAACCCAGGATAGGTCAAAGAATCAAAAGTTAAGTCCAGTTTCTGATAGAGTGAAGTGGAAAGTGTTCAAGCGGGAACTTCACCATATATTAAAGTAAAGTAAGTAAGTACATGTATGTCATTATATCGCCGGGGAAGAACGGCTGATTTCTCCTATACGTGTCTTCGGTATGTAAGGGTGCGGTCAAGGTCAACGCCAAATACCTGGTAGCTTGAGTGACCTCGGTTCCAATGGGTGACCCTTACAAGTTCGTAAGATAGCTGCCGATGTTGTAGAAAGTCCTACCCGGCCGACCACTCTACTCTCTACTCTAGATGTACGTACCCGGAACAATGACACAGGAGCCAGAGCTACATAGTGACGTGTATTCTCTCCTCTCCGATTCTAACTCTCTCTTTTGACTACTCGAGTACATGGGTTTTATATCCTCTATCCACCTACACACAGATTTCTTGGAACAAGGGCATCATACTTCCTGTATCAGCCATTCTAAATCACTTCATTAGGCATTTAATAGTGGAAAAGCCCTGACCATTACCAAATAAGGCAATGTCCAGCCACTGAGACCCTGGTCCCCTACCGTCAGGAACCCATTAGTTCTTCCTGGGTCATTAACTAGATGTCTCTCAAAGATCTCTTACATTTCTCAGAACAGGGGAAAGTGATTCAGTACAAGAACAAGAAAGTGTTTTTCCAGCCTACGGTACAAGAAACGTATATAACCTAAGATACTTATTCTTATCAATATACTACAGGCTAGAGCACCCTATTACAGGTACATGCATGTACATGTAGCCCCAAGACAAATAAAAAGGAGTGAATCCTATCTAGCGATTCTAATTTTTAAGCGCACAACATAAATTTGCCTGGGCCTACAAAAATGTAACTGATTTTGGACCCCTGGTGGCTTTCCTCGTACTGTAGCAGAAATTCTGGATTCTTTCTAAGGCCACAGCAAGTAAATTTTATGGATGACATCCACGAGCACATTAATTTTCGTCTGATTTTGGAAAAAAAACAAGAACTTTTGCTGCCTTCTGACAGTGGTCAACATGCCGAAAATGGGCAAAGATGTCTGTTGCCATGCCGGAAGGTGGATGGCAGATAACTAGGAAGAGAGGAGACAAGAAAAGGCTCTGATTTATTGTATGTTTCTTACTTTGATCATGGAGGTAGAAAATGGCCTTTTTTTCTACCTCCATGCTTTGATGCAGTGATATGTGATGCTGACTGTGTATATGTGATGTTCCTACTGAATCAAAACCATTTGTACATTTCACATTGTAGGAACCTTTTTTTTTTTGGCCGGCCTTGTTTTTTTTTTCGCCCGCTCGCATTAGATTTGGAGTCTGCGGAGGATATCATCTATAAAATTTACTAGCTGTGGCCTAAATTATATGTGTACGTATATGAAAAGAACAATTGTATCAAGAACGGAACAGATTAAACACAAAATCGTCGCCTGTGTTTTTTTAAAAACATCATACTTGTTCCTTTTACACACAGTTTGCTAATGACAAATATACTACAGATGAGTCAGCCGCCCTGTTCCAGAGATTTATGACACACACCTGGTGTAGATGTAGTAGATGGGTGGGCTGAACGATGTGCCGTGTCATGTTGATGTCAGACCTCTGGGACCTGCGCAACCCTGTGTGTCAGAACATCCTATTGGTCCATTTCATCATGTCATTCACCCCGGATTGGCGTCAGAGGATCTTCTGTCGAAAACATTTATCTTCTTCCCTCTGAAGAACGTTAACAGCAACGTGTAAGATGGAGGAAGGACGCTCTTAAAACTACATACGGTGTTCTAACATGTCCTTCTGATGATGATGGCGGATCTTAGTTGACCAAACCTGCGGCTTGACAGCTGACCACGTAATGGTGTGGTGGTTTCCCCCTCGTCCATCTTTCCTTTGTTTTGTGCTGAGTGCTGCGCTATTTTAGGGTCAATAAGCCCGGTCGAATGTTGATTACAGAAGTTCCCATCAATACCTATAAACATCAGAGTGAAGGAAGCTTGGAGTGCAGGTGTGGTGTACGAAGTACACATAATTCATTATTGGATTCATGCTAACTCATCAAAGTACCTTTTTTTGCAACACTTGAACCGGGAACATAGCTGAAGACTTTTGCCTAAAAAAAGGAAAATTTTCGAGTCATGATTAAAGATAGTAAATACCACCTGTGATCTGTCCAGAATGCAGGGCAAGTTTTATCGGTATCCAACAGATATACACACAAATACCGGTACCCTTATTGGCATATTGTTACTAGTATTAGCTAGGCCATAGACAGAACAGTATCTTTGCATGTGGTAACTTCAATTCAACGTTTTGTCAACAAGCATTTTACATATTGTAGACCTCATGCCACAGTACTGTAACAGTCCACCTGCTATGTAGGCTCCAGCAGCTGTATCAGAACGCTGCCTGCTCCCATGGGATTACCTTTCCGTTGTTTTTTGCTGATAGAAATCGGGCACTTCTTTGAACAAAGAGTATGTATCACATGTGAATTATTGATGCAGAACTACCACCAACCCCCCTGTCACTGCTTGTTGTGATACCAGAACATTCAAAAACGCTCTCTGATTCGTGAGTTTAGTCAGTATGTTATCTTATATCGATTGCTTTGGGATAAAACTCAGCTGAAAAGATCGTTACGCGTTTGCTGTTTAGTTATAGCTATCAGACTGTCAAGAAATCGATATGGTAGTGTCGTTTGTGGCATTGGTCTAATGCATCTCCTAGAAGAAAATATCTCAGAAGTTATTCTAAAAGTTCCACGGTTGGAAGATGTGCAACACCTTTGTTGGGATGACAGACTGTTACGATAAATGCACAAGATCATAAGAATATCCGATTCTCTTTTTGCACCACCTGTCTTCTGTGGGTTTTCTTTCTATTGATCCGTGTTGAGATTATTCCGCTTGGTTTGTCTGTGGCCAACACTCGTGTGTAGTTAAGAACCTATAATGGTAATTAAGCAGATTCTCACTGTAACTGTAAGAATACTAAGAACAAGCTTTACGGCGTGTCCATTAATCTGTGTTCGTGGTTCTTGTGACCAGTAACTCTAATGCTTAACAAGAGATCAACATTGTTATAGGACAGTTAAGGTGTGGGCTTTTTATCCATTCGGACAGTGACAAATATAGAATGCCAGGTACGATATGAATTTTGTATCGTTTTGTTGTCAGGGTGTATAACTGAAATTCAAGACAGCTAAACATACACAAGATTAATCGCTCTACTTTACCTTCTATGTCCATTTCAAAGTTCTTTTCAATTATCTTTGTCAAATCGACTTTAAGTAGCTCTTGCTTTCCATCCCTTCTACTTCCTAGAATTCCTTCACCATTGTTGATGAACATCAGAAGCGATTACCGAGTACATATCAAATGGTTGATGTCATTGGTCCTTCCATTGTCACGTAACGTACGTTTAAGCGTGTTACGTAATAAATTGATCTGCTTGGTAATCCAGATATGTTCCCACTAGTGTGTCTGTAAAACGCACGGCGATAAGGCAAGACCGTGAAAAACTGATCAGTCATTCAAATCATCTGGAACCACATCTATGTGTGCGAAATATATCCAGGGATTACTACACGATGCCTAACCATCGGAAACGATCTGTCTCGTTATCAGGAACCCTCCAAGTCCGAAGGAACAGCTGTATGGCCTATGTCTTCTCCACGTGCCTGATACTGACATTCTACAACTGGCTGACCATGGACGGACCTTACACCATCACCATCCGGCTCCGGCCGCTGATGCCGTGGGCAGCGCACCCCGGCAGGAGGCTGCAGTACCTCCTCACAGATGACTTCAATCGGTATGTGTTGCAGTTGCAGTGAGCTGTCGTTGTTCATCGTTGCACATCGTACTAGATAATGTATTATCTAGATCTGTTTATTTGCAGGCTCGCTTGCTTCCTTGGCTGATGCTTGATCTTTAACGTAGTTCCAGTTATTGTTCGTCTAATGCATAATGTGGACAATAGTGTATTTCCGTGGTGCTAGTTTCCAAAATCGTTAGAATAGTTTAACTTCATGAGGTCAAAACCATGCATACTGCAGCACTGAAGCAATTTATATTGTTTCTTCATCAAAATCGCTACTACTAATACAGAAGCAGTAACATAGCAGAGAAGCTGCACCAAGAACCATCGATAACTACCACGTTTCCTGATACGTACATCGCGGGGTTTCCCGAGGAGATAGACGCCATACTCATCAACAACACCAGACAGCTCAAACCGGCACAGGAGATCCTCTCCTTACTGGACACTATCGACAACAACTGGGCGTTTCGCCCGGAGGCTACAGAAAGACTAAGGTAAAGGTACACTTTGGTGAAGGTTAGACATCCAGGTAATAAGACACGCCAAAAATCAGTTACTTAAGCAACTAGATATGATTTTGGAAACGGTCAGACGTTTCTCTAAGTATCACTGACGAAATTCGAAAGGTAGTGGATGCTGCATGAAACGTCTGACCGTTTCCAAAATCATATCCAGTTGCTTTAATAACTGATTTTTGGTGTAAACTATTCATTTTAAAGATGAAGGACCTCAAGGCTTTTCTGATGACTCAACAAAGAATTCTTAATTCTAATTTGAATTGTAAGATGAAATTCTTATGTCTATTTTAGCTCCTTCTTTTAGCTTTAGCTTCTAAGCTCTAGCTATTTTATCTCATTAATGGCTTCAAAAGTGAGCTAAGAAGCAGCTTAGTCATCTTCAAAAAGAAGGGTGTATTGACGAAAGTTTCTTTCCACCTTCCAGATTACAACTGGAAGAGAAAGTGGACACTGTGAACACTTTCATACTGCACAAAAACTCCACAACGAGTAACGGCACCATCGGCTTCACGTCAGCACCGGGGGTCTACAAACTGACGCCATCAGTATACAGCAGACAACCTATGGTAAAAGCTTATCTTCTTCTTAATCTCTAGCTTATTGTTTGTACTGAATAAAACTAGTCTAAGTCATATATTTTTATTACCGACGGTCTCGCCTTTATGGCGCTGATGTAATCTCGTTGATAGACCTCAGATTGTCTATGAGATACGTGCTGACGTAAGAAGTATAAGTTCATTAAACATTACATGATTGATATTGATCTTTCCTTTCAAAGAACGCATGGATCTGGAAGAATTGTGCTGACTTCTATTCAAAACAGCTGTGTCTCTATTGATCCCATTCATGATCTGTATCTATATTAAGACTCCGCATAGACAAGCACTTAATGTCGTCATCAATTAGATGCCAAGGACTACGACAGCATCTACCTTATTATTTTAGGCCAAGGAAAACATGATGTTTTGTACAATGTAAAGCTGAATTGCCTCAGGACCAGCAGGGATATCTCCTTGCTGAGCCATCCCTCCATTTGCTTGTGGGGAAGGGACTGATATTTCATTCGATTTACTCAAGAAAAATTTCCTTCAGAATCTGAAGATCCTCGAAATAATATCGTCTCAAAGGGTTTGGAATTCAGATGGAAAATTTAATGGAATTGCCAACAGTCGACCAAAAAAGGCTAGGGTTGGCGGGTTTTCCTAGGTTCGGTCGAGAAACTGGAAACACTACCGTTTTCCTAGGCTTTACTATGTACAATTTTCGATGATTACGAAGGAACGCAGTATCACAACATATCATCCAATTTGATGCGTTTTTCAGGACACGCCGTTCCAGTTCAAACAGTACAAAACCTGCAGTATTGTCGGCAGCAGCGGCATTCTACAGGGCAGCAACTGTGGAGAGAGTATTAACAGTGCAGATTTTGTTATAAGGTAATATTTTGCACTTTACAACACAAGCAGTATATATCTGTCAGTACCATCATTAATCTACAGTGAATAAAATTAAACCTACATTAAATCAGAAATGCATGACCTTCTGAATGACGCTAACTATTGATTCTGTAAAAATTTATGTTGCTTTCGTCTTCTCTCTGACAATGCAGTAAATGACTAAGCATCGGCATTACTCGTAAAATCCAAAGCAAGAAGAGTAATATGGACCAATGGTTTATGATAAAAGGCATATTTGAAAGTGGAATGGACATGATTGGGTCAGATTTTACAAATCCTCAACCACAATTTACAGCCTCTGACACTCGTATAATTTGCAGACCATAAAAAGCTTTAAAAGTGACCATCTTGTCAGTTGTAATAGGGAGTGTCTCTGTGATGATATACGTTTATGAATAAGCTGTTCGTGATATCCGTTCACTGAACAGTTTGTAAAATGTTGCTTTGTTCCTTTTCTCCAGGTTCAATATGCCAGCTGTCACGGACGAATTCAAAGACGACGTGGGAATACGAACACATCTAGTCACATGTAACGGAGACACGCTGCATTATAAGTAGGTTTTTCTCTTCCTTTATACAGTCGCCTATCTCTGGAAATTATGATCGATCTTTTAATGTAATTTCACTTCAGTTCACGTTTTTCAAAACAGACATTTACGTATGTTACTCCCAATTGATGATGCACCCATCGAAACATATCACATCAGTGCACGTTTGGGAATGCATCTATAGCAGCAACACCTGTGCTGCAGTGCAATGTGAACCAGTCAGAATTGTCCTGAGGAAGGTGACAGACGGTCACCGAAACGTCGTCTGAATAAAAGACTTGATTGAGTAAAAAGAGTCCCTTTACTCTGTAATACTCGTTGACTTACCAACCTGATGAAACTATTCACGGATCAAATGTTACGTCATGGATATCAGAAATAACTTATGCTCACTTCTGTTTCCAGATTTAAAGACATCCGGAGTACACATTGGCTCCGGTTCTTCCGCAACTACGTGGTAGATAACAAATACGGAAAAAGCCTGATCTTCACCGCTCCGTTCAACACCAGATATCACCTGCAGAGGCTGATCTGGTTCCAGTCTGTCGTGCCAAAGTCCAGGTTGCCAAACAGGGTTGTTTTGAACGACTCCCAGCACAAGGTGAAAGCCTTCAAGTTTTGGAGGGAAAGAGGTCTGACGGAGAAAAGTTTTTCTTCAGGTAGGTAGGAACTAGTTCCATGTTCATTATTGTTTGTCTTTATCAATCTGTAGATCAATGATTTAAGCGGTAACTTGGGAATAAATATCTTGTCACCATTTCTTTAATAAATGAATTATCATATCTTCGATATCTTCGTTAACAACAAAATCAAACCTAGCTTCGTGTGTTCGTTTGTAACAGTTTGAGACAAGGAGAAAATCTTACAACAACATTGCCATGCATATGCTGGCATTACTGTTGATCAAGCCAAATCCTTAGAGCCAAATCTGTACATATGCACGTAACGCATAGGATAAGTCTTGTTCCTTATTAGAAATGCTCCGATCAAAAATAAAAGTTTTACCTGTTTTGGTACTTTTGAATGCTTCTAGGATTCTACATGATCACCTCTGCTCTATCGTTCTGTGAAGAAGTAACGGTCTACGGCTTCTGGCCTTTCCGGAAAGACAGAAACGGCAGAGAAGTCAAGTGAGTAAAGTTAGGCGTTGTTCCTGACGTTTATCATTGTTTTTCAGATGGGGTTTTTTTCTGATATGTAATTCAGGTGTGCAACTTTGTAGCCTATGGATTCTGGTTATACATAGCTATACTGACTGCTAACCTTACATCAAGGACGTTTAACGTCCTTTCTTACATGTAGCATATTGCACGAAACGTCTGCCTACTTCTTGAACAGTTTCAAACCATCAACTATTGCAACAATTGGTTTAATTTTGATCTGTACTTCTGTGTTTCCGCCATCTTTACCCAGCTACCACTACTCGCATGGCGAAGAGCATGATGGGGGAATAGAAAACGAGTGGCACCGGATGGACCGGGAGTTCGTCAAGCTGGTGGAACTTTACAAGGACGGCGTCATCAAACTGGTGACACGGAGCTGCAACCAAACTACGGACAGTTAGGAGTTCCTGTGGACTACGAGAAAATGGTCTCGAACATGCGATCATTGCCACGTGACCTTTTAATAGTGCTCTATGAGTACCATCATCAAGACTGTCAGATGCCAAGGCATCACATCTCGAGAGCTTTCTCGAACAATTTGACACATTTTTGACAAATAAACCAAATTATACTTCTTGATTAATAAGACGTATTTTTCTTCTACCGTGAGAGTGAGAGAGAATGAGTGGCTGAGTGAGATATATCTACCGTACACAATTTGATCTGTCGCTACCACTACTGGCTAATGTGCACAATGGTCGTTACTACATATTTCCTTCACTGCAGCTATTCATAGTACAAAAGTAAAATCCTCAGGACAACCGAATAGAAGAACACATGCGTCAGAATAGATATCTACATTGTTCCCATCCACTTCCACTCTTCTTCAAGTTACAGAGGAAACAATGACTAAGAAATCTATTTGTGAAGAAATATCCTCTAATGTACCACCTGCCCATACAAGCCATTTTCACCTGTAAAGCAATAGCCGATGTCAACCATTGTGCACTAAATCAATCTCACCTTCCTTTGTTCGCCTCCCTACACACATTATCTGATTCAATTTATGCCAATTGTGGGAGAGTGGATTTGGCACGGAATATATATGGGACTGTTAACAGGGTGTGTGTGAGGGGTCAAACCGGTCAGACGGGTTACTTGTATAGGCCGGAGTAAAAATGCTGACCACTGGAGAACCTATGCGAAGCAAACCGTCCTTTCCGAGACGATCTGTGATTCAAACAGGTTACATTTGGGAGTTACATTGTATCTTTGTCCCAGGCTCGTGCGGCACGGAAGGACACCTGTGATATGACCTTCAAAGGTGAGAACATTCTTTCCGGGTTCTTTGACAGGTGGGGAGGGGGGCAGCGACAGAATTATCTTTACTGCAAGACAAACCGTCTATTATCTATGACAATAATAATATCTTAAAACAAGTGGACGTAAAGAACGATAGGGCAGTACAGTGTAAACATACAGGTCTACATAAAATGTTACAGCAACGTTTGTGTATCTTCCCAAGGGAGAGTTTTACATTTTCAATAGAACAATGTTGGCATGTCGGCATGAGTCACCATTCGAAATAGCTGCACACGACCCTGGTTCATACCGATATCCAAACATTCCGATAGAAACATACAGATACACACAATATGATATAAAGACCAAACAGGGGACACCTTATGCTATATGCTTCGCCAGTCACTATGGTCATTTTCGTCAGCATTGCACACAAATATTGCATAGATTTGAAGTACTTGTAATGCAGACAATTAATGCAGACAACTGAAATAAGCCGAGTAACAAACCACACTTTTCATATTACACGTTTCAGTGCTGTTACAATACGCAAAAAGTATAAGCACCTGTGCTAGTTATACTGCTAACACATCTCTGGCCGCAACGCGAACAACGCGTTGTCAAGGCGACGCCTTTGTGTTTTCCTCACACCTAATGCTTCAGGGCGTTCTAATCGAAGTTGAGGGAGCCGGGAGGTTGGTAAATGTGCTCGCTTGATGCCATCGGACGTACGGAAGTGTACATGCAACAACTGGATCGCAAAGTTGCGTGACAACACTCCTCCCAGTTCACGCGAGTTTTACAGAATCGTGAATTTTCAAACGAGCGCGCCCACCGCTAGGGGACATTCTACACATTTTCTTCAAAGCGGCCCAATAATGTAGTTACCATTAATGTAAATTAAATTCCAGGCAGGGATACTCGATGTTTCTATATTTCAAACGATCTGTTTTGTAGGATATTTATTATGCTGTCGTCATGGCAACGTGACGCACATACAACGCAGCTTAGTCCGAAATAAAGGAGAGGCTTCTCCGTATTCAGGTCACTGAACTCTCACCATCTGGGCTTAAACGCGGAGCTGTTCTATATAACGACCTAAGTTACTTTCATTTGTACATAATGTACATTTCTTTTTGTGCTAAATGTGTTTTTTTATGATATCTGTTGTGATATCCGTTGCTTACATGTTTTTATGAGCCCTGGAAGATTAGCCTTTGAGTTAAAGAACCTCAAAAGAGAGAATAAAGAGAATGATTATACAATGTACTACCAACAGGCAACAGGAGCGGCATGCCTCAGCAGAGACTGGGCCGTGTGACGTCAGTGTTCCTGGCCTGTGTGATGTTGACCCTGTATAACGTCCTGACCATGGACGGACCTTACGTCATCACTATCAGACTACCACAGCTCTACCCATGGGCTAACCTCTCCAGCTGTCCACCGCGCATGCTCATCAGGCAGAATGGCAACATGTGAGTACATCTCTATTTAAACAAGCTACTGGGGGGGGGGGGGGCGGTACAACACTTTGTCCTGACTAAAAGCTCATGTTTTGTCAACTTAGAAACAGTACATGGTTTACCAGGTGAAGAAATAACACATTCATTCAAAGAAATCATATCTATGGTCATGATTATAAGCAATGGTATGCAGGATAAGGGTGATTCACAAATAGTTTGCTCTTATGTTAATGCTAGTATTGATTTGTTTGTTTGTTTGTTTGTTTGTTTGTTTGTTTGTTTGTTTGGTTGGTTGGTTGGTTGGTTGGTTGGTTGGTTGGTTGGTTGGTTGGTTGGTTGGTTGGTTGGTTGGTTGGTTGGTTGGTTGCTTGCTTGCTTGCTTGCTTGCTTGCTTGCTTGCTTGCTTGCTTGGTCGGTTGGTCGGTCGGTCGGTCGGTCGGTCGGTCGGTCGGTCGGCTGCTTGATTTGCATCATTATATCAGTCACTATACAAATCTGCAATAACACGTAACGTCACGTCCCCTTCAGTACTGCAGACCCGGACCTGCTGGACGTGGATGAGATCCTGCCCGGTTTCCCTAAGGAGATAGATGACATCATGTATAACGGTACCAGACTGCAGGCTCCACCACGGGAAATACTGTCTGTCCTGGACACCATCGACAGGACGTGGAAGTTCCGACCTGAAGCCGCTGAGGAACTCAGGTAACCGACTTGAAGACGCGCTATATATGGACCTAAGTGTTAGCCTGTACCCAGACTTTGACTCCAAAGTCAACTTGTGGTGCAATATTTTACTTGTGGTGCAATATTTTACTTGTGGTGCAATATTTTACAGAGATGCCCCTAAAACACAGAAGAAAAAAGATGAACGTTACTAACCGGTTTCTTTTGCAGCTAGCTCAGTTGCAACCTTCATCAACTTGCTCAACGAATTCCAACAATCAAATTGGTCATGCGGCATCCATTTGCCAGACAGTTATCATTTCGCCAAAGCCTGTCCAATTTGATTCTGTCTTTAAGCTTTGCAGCCACCAAAAGATCTGCTTACAGATTATACGGCAATGTCTTTTCCTGACGTCTTCCCCACTAACTATACTCCTACTACATGTTGTGAACTAAACTCGTTGCAGATCCGCGTTGGAGGCGAACCTGAGTACCGCCCGCATGTACATCGTGACTCAGAACAACACGTCTAAGGACACCGCGATGTCCCTGGCGGCTGAGAGAGTACAGTACAGGCTGTCTGCTGCTGTCGCCGCCAGGCAACCTGCGGTCAGTTGTGTTGTTTGTTTGTTTGTTTGTTTGTTTAGTGGCATGTAATCAAAGAAAAAACAAACATAACATAACAAGAGAGACATGCGACAATAACAGACATAGTATTGGATATTTTGTGGTGGTGGTGGTGTAAAGATACGTTTAGTCAACTTATATATATTCAAAAATTAATGATAAGTGAACCCAAAATGAGTATTATTTCTAAACACATATTATCACATGCCATGTTTTGATCATGACCACGATATAGCTGAGGGAACTAAAATGCTTACTGAGCTATCTCATGGTTTCGTTAACCTCGATTTGTCTTTGCCTTTGCTCCATTTAGAGCTCGCCATTTTCCTACAAACAGTTTAAAACCTGTAACATCGTGGGCAGCAGCGGTCTGCTCAGAGGGAGTAAGTGTGGACGGGAGATTAACAATGCAGAATTCATCATAAGGTACCACTAGGCGTCAGAGCTTTACGCTAATGGCTCTGTTTTTGTAGGTTTATAGCAATTTGAAAATATATAATATGAAATTCATATGTATACGAGAACCTCAATTGATAATCCTGATAGGTGTTGTTGTTTGTGTTGGTTTCATAAACCATTTTCACTTTGTTAGAACACTTTGTTATCCTTTTCCATGCTTTGATTCGATGGTATACACTGATGTTACTGCCATGTCATCACAGGTTCAACATGCCGCCCATAGCAGATGCGTTCAAAGAAGATATCGGAGTCAGGACTCATTTCGTCACATGTAACGCACTCACCGTTCACGAAGAGTACGGAACGTTCTATTTTTTTTCATCAATTTTGTACATCAATTTTATTCAATTTGACAAAATCGCACAAAAGCAGGGATTGACTAACGCACCCCTCAATTGTGCTTCGATTTTTACAAACGAGATCAAGGAATTGTCATCACATGCTCAGTTAGATAGTCTGATATTAAATCAATAACATTAAATATACAAGAGATACAATCTTATCACTTTTTTACAAACCAACCAACAAACAAACAAACTATGGAGTTGCAAGACGAAAAGATTACATTGATAAGCAAAGGGATCCTGAAGACTTGTTGTTTGTCCCTTAGCCATACCCATTTCTACCAAACCATATTATTCCTGGATGAGCCGTTTTATTTTAGTGTTTGAAACTTTTGTTCCAACACAAGAAATGTTTTTACCTAGAGCATTAGACCAGTCACTCAGGTCTTCTTCAATAGACTGACCCATTGAGACTTGTCACGTAGCTTCTCTGAAGTGTGACGTCAACACATTTTAGTGTTATTTTGATGACGGTAATTTGGATAGTGTTCAATGAATTGGAATAAAAACATGTATTACTATACATTTACTTCTTATTAGTGCTCATAATAATTACGGTTGGCAAAAATTGTGATGAACTGAGCTTACATGACATTGAAATAATTCACAGGTATCAGGATATTCGCAGCATGCACTGGCTCAGGATCTTTCGCAACCACATAATAAAGAACAAGTACGGCAAGAGCCTGATCTTCACCATGCCGTTTAACGTGCGCTGGAACATACGGAGACTCATCTGGTTCCAGACGGCAGTTCCCAAAGCAAGAGTGCCAAACAGAGTCGTCTTCAACCACCCTCACCACAAGATAGCTGCAGAAAAGTTCTGGACCGATAGGGGGCTTGATGAGAAGAGCTTCTCGTCTGGTAGGCATACGTCTTATTGCATCCTGAACGTACTACGTGCCTATCTGGGGTAGGGGTAGGGGTAGGGGCAGGGGGTAGGGGTAGGGGTAGGGGTAGGGGCAGGGGCAGGCTTGGTCCCTGCGTATCCAAGAACGTAGATTTGCCCCAGGCATGGTTCTGGAGGATGATGGCTTTCATTGTGGGTTAGATCGACCTCAAATGTGTGTTTGCTGCATACTCTCCAAGCAGAGGTTTGGGTTAACTGGGTTGGGGGTAAAAGACTGCAAATATTGCATGTCTACTAGAAAGACAAGTTGATGATTACATACACAATTTTGTGAGTAATAATTACGTATAGCTCAGATGTAAAGCAATGAGGTTTATGATAATGATACTAACGATGGTGATGATGATTTTGCAGGTTTTTACATGATCAGTTCCGCTCTGTCCTTCTGTGAGAAAATCACAGTGTACGGCTTCTGGCCGTTCAATCTGGACAGGAACGGCGATCCATTGAGGTACGTCATCTTGTTGTCTTTCTGTCTTATGTTTACCGAAGAAAAACATTTTTTGTTACGTTTCCTCTTCTTCTCCAAACCAAAAAGGTCAATGACCTGAACCAGACTTTCTGTTACCATGGTAACTAGTGTTGGGTTACACAAAATAAACTTACTTACTTAACAGAGCAGACCATATGCGAAGGTAAACATGCATTTGCTTTGCAAATGTTACCTTTCTTGTTTTAAAACGTGTTTCGTGTTTATCGACAGCTACCACTACTGGCAGAATGGACCAAAAGACGGCGGAGTGAACAACACATGGCACCGCATGGACAGGGAGTTCGTCAAAATAGTAGAACTGTATAAGGAAGGAGTCATCAAACTGGTCACTTCACCGTGTGTACAGCAGACGAATACCACAGACCTTAGATAGACTATCGTCAATGAACCAAAGAACTTAAATCAGAGTTTGTTGCAATACAATACAGGTACCTCTTGCCTATCTGTAAGATATGAAGATGTTATATAGTATTTTTAAAAGAGACTGTTTCAAACCTCAACATTGAGCATGTACAGATCATAGTCGGTAGTCCCATCTTACAGTACACGTGTATGATGCTAGGAGGCGCTTTTTCATTCATCATATATATGAATCTTGCATTGTATTCTTTATTCACCATCAGAAATATAGCATGTATTATTTGCAAGATAAAGCATATAATGTCGCCGTTTTCTCTGTTTCGTGTAACTTGTTCATTCAAATTTTGAAGGACTTGCTTACGAAGTAGGTAATTTTGTTTCCATAACCGCTGCTCACCTACCAAATATCATTAAGATCTATTCACAGATTTTCGATTTTAGCTGCACACATACAATCGACAAATGTACAAAAACTCCTTTGCATTACGATTGGGAAAAGCCAGTTGTGCCGTTTTTTAACTTGACCTACATTTCCACAGCAGTTACCAACATACCAAATATCAAAAAAGATACATCCACAAATACTCGAGTGATAACGTTGACCTACATACGGACCTACACCACAGCTGCTCCACCGGGCCCAAGCGGAATACATACCCTTCTGATGAAGGCAATCAGGAGACAAATGAGCCAAATCGAAAACGTTTGAGGATTTTACCATGCCTGCTAGGGGTCGCTGTTATACAGACAGAAGTGCCCACAAAAGTCTCTATCGGACCACTGCCACAGGTAAGCGTCCATTCGCCCATGGCCACACCTAATCTCAGAGCAAATATTTGTGTTCAGTCAGGTTGGCATTTCTAGTCATCAGACAACGTTCTTACTGTTTATTGTCCAGTTACCCAGGGTATAGCCCTTAAAATAGCCGACGGCTAGTGGGACAGTACTGTACTGTATATAATTTCAGACAGCCTGATAAATCAAATCAAAACTCCTATGATTTAAGGTGGTGATCAATTCTTTATGGTATCAGTATGCTCTCCAAACAGAGGCTGTTAAGGAAAATTCCAACCTTGTTATCATATGCCTCATTTTCTCCATCCCACAAACAAACGGCCGAACAAAAAAAACGGCGCGTATGAACAAAGGCCACAATTTTTCCCCAACCAGCTCTGCTTGGAGAGTTTGATATCAACGTTAGGGTTTTACGTTTGGACACGACGCTTTACCATTGTTGGTCTTATGGCACATTTGCCCACTGATTTTCCAATCTCTCGCTATTAAGGTGATAAGTATTACAGGTAAACATTCTTTCCATTGGCTGTTCCACATGGTTTCGTAAGTCAGGGCTCGTTTATTTATTTATCCAGGGCAATACACTATAATTCCTTTATCTGTACACATCAGTCTGATAGACATCGTGCATTTTGCTGTGACATATCGTAACAGACATGGTAGGTCACGCAAAACAAGGCTGTAGTAACCACAGGCCCGCACTCTCATCCGGCTCTGGGAGAACAACTTCCTTGTAATTCGTTGATGTGGCTAATTGTGTACAATTTGACTTCCCCACATGACTGCTCCGTTGCTCCTGGTTTTCAAGGGCATCCTGCGTCCATGTCTATGTAGATGATACATGCTGCTTGCCTCTGCTTCTACTGCTAGTGTAGCGTACATCCTGTCGATTTTGGTGAGCAACAATTTGTTCTATTCTCAGACTGTTATAGGGAAAGCTTTTTATTCCAAGCCTCCTGTGCAGGCCTCCGGGCGGGTGGGAGTTTTGATACAGCGTTTTGTAGAATTTGTAACGCGTTCTTTTGCCGGCTATATCCTACAACCAGCCGCCCAGAGAAGGTTTGTACCATCCACGGTTGTAGGATGGCCGACAAAAGAACACGTTAAAATTCTACAAACGCTGTATCAACTATCAAAACTCCCGTGGTATTTCATTCCATGTTCGTGTTGTAGGCATGGATGTTCGGATGAAGGGGCGAAACGATTTACGTGTATTATGACAGTAAACACGCACACGGTCCTAGATCTTTGTGAACGCCCGGCGGCTTTGTGACCACGCCCGTAAAGCTAATGTTATGTTCTACGTACTAAGTAAATAGTAAACAAAAACAACCGCGCCCTACAGAAGACACCACGCCTACTTTTCGGATCACCGAAATTTGGGGATATACCATATATCCTTTCTATGGGGGGACGAAACCATAAAAATCTTGTAGAGGAACTTCAAGAAAGAAGAATAATCACCGCTCCGTATACCACTTACTATGTCATTTGCCTTATGACAAAACATATTATAGGTACAGATTGAGATAGATTGTCAATATCCCGGTTTACTGCTGTGTGGTATCGTCTAATCTATTCACATCTTCTTCCCTGGATGCGATATGACGTGCCTGACCACGTGACCGACATTGTTTAACCTGTGGAGACCATGCAGTCAATACAGGTAGCCGGCAGGTCGGGACAGCGGGGCCGGGGTTTGCGCTACAGTTTGCCCATTAAAACACACTAAGGGAACCGCCACTGGAGTAGAGAGGACGTTTTTCGGACGTTTTGGACTGTACTGGGTTCATCGAAGGGTGAAGAAACAAGACGGCAGCCATCCTAGGAAACATCAAGACGACTGGTAACTACAGTATACCGTATAACGTTACCTTAACATGTCGTGACCCGCTTCCGCAAAGGGTTCAGTTAACGTATTTTTAATGCGGGTGTGATGTATCTGTTGTATTCATAGGCAGACAGGTATTGTCACTATACATGAGAACATACAATGCCTGAGTAATAGATACAACAATGCATGGCGTTTTGAAGAATGAACGTGTCCAGTAGTTTTTCGGTAATTTTCATGTTACAAGAAGATAAGTTTAGTCCAAGCGTTACGTCTCTGGGTATAACGTTACAGCTATTGAGATTGCAGTAATTCAAGCCGGGAACATTCTTTTTAATGAATGGAATATTTAATTTGTATAAGTACTCCCAGGCTGTCATAACCTTTGTGGTTCATCTGCATTTTTGGAAAAACAAATAGAACAGGTACAAACCGAACATGGATACTGCGTTGTTCGTTAGAAAAGATAAAAGACCACTTGTCCTGGGACGGTGTGATCGAATTTAAAGCAGCGCGACCGTCAGAATCTGATGAATGTAAATTGGTGCGTAATTCCCGACGGTGTCATTTGAACGAAATTAGTTTTTTCCAACATCATTTCACTTCTTTGTGTGGGGAGGGGGGCGATGAACGGGTGATGAACAGTACAAAGCTGTTTGAGGAATTCTAGGTTTCCATGGCTTGTACGATACGCCATGCATCTGAAAGACCTTCTTATATGAACAGAGAAGGCCGTTGTCTTTTGTCTTTGTGTCCTAAAGCATCAATTGGCACAAGTGTTTTCCAATTTGGGGTTAACAAGGAAAAGTCAAGAATAGAGAACATGAATCACCTAAGACTGAAGTTCCGGACTGGTGACTGTTAGGGCTAGGTTCTCTTCGGTGCAAGCCTGGAGCGATGACCACGGGGTGTGGTGTAGACTACCGCGATTTTCATACAAGGTTAGCCGCGGACACGGTATGAACTTTTACCTGGAGGCTTTACTCGACTTTTGAATGTCCACAACACACTGATTAGTACGTTAAGAAGCAGGTTGTCATAGCATTCTGCACTATACAAAGCAAAGGCAAACAGGCCTATCTTCTTTCAGGTTTGTACAACACCTGTTCTGTATAAAGGGACCACGTTCTTTACACATAATACACAAGTGTGCACTTGTATCTGGGTGACAGGGCCGAGATCATTCCATGATCCAAGACAGAATGACTGTGTCATGGAAGAGTTGTGGAACACAAAGCCATGAATCACACCGGGCTCACACATTGCTGCTCCTGACGAAGACGTGTACGTGACTGTATTTACAGGACGTGACTTATTCGGCAGGTGTCCTTGCCGATGGGACAAACATGTAATCTCCAAGCAGATCCTAGGGTGGCAAAAGACAGCATCAAATTGGCCAGGCAGTATCCATTGGCCAGAGAGGGTCCAATATGCCAATTTAATACTGCCTTTTGCCACCCTAGGATCTGCTTGGAGATTCAAAAACATAGACTCATCAGAACGGCGTCCGTAACAGCAACAGGATATTCCTATTGTGTGCAAAATATGTGACTTTCCTCTGCCTCAATGAGCCTACTATTTCCCTGTGAATATGTAAGAAGCGCAGGACGAAGGGCGAATCATGTTCCGAATGACCTGAATCATCATATGTTCTTCCGACTGACCTGCATTGTGTCGCCATCGATATCTTGGAACTTTTGTATCTGTGCGCTTCACCAACATGGCGGCTATGTTGTGACGTCTAACGCAAGCACGCCACATCTTGTTATAAACTGAAATAAAATCTGATGATTTTCATGTTTACCAGTGCAGTCTTTCTGTAACGCGCTGGAGGTGTGGCTCTGACCAACCACAGGACCTCCGTTTTACATCCCATCCACTGAGAAGAGTTAGACGTTCCTAATGGTGGTTCGTTTGGTTTGTTTGGATCTCCTAGGGACTTTCTTTCATTTATTTTACCATGACTTGTTGTTTTGTCCAGTGGCCAGGATGCCACGGCTGTACCCTATCCGAGTCATCACGTCAGTGGTCCTGTGTGCCTGTGTACTGATGGGCCTGTCCGTCCTGGTGGGGCAACACGAGACGGGGCTGCTGAGGGAACTGTCGTCTGCAACTATACACAGGTCAGTGGACCGATCGTACAGGTACTAAAATAGGTACCCCATCCGTGAATTGTTTCATCAGGTTGGTAAGTTACTGAGTAAAGAGATTCTTTACACGTTTGGGAATGCATCTATAGCAGCGACACCTGTGCTGCAGTGCAATGTGAACCAGTCAGAATTGACCTGAGGAAGGTGACAGACGGTCACCGAAACGTCGGCTGTGAATAAAACACTTGGTTATGTAAAAAAAGTCTCTTTACTAAAATAGGTACCGTTACCGTTGGCAACATAGGCTCTTCAAATTGCATATTGATTTGGATCAAGTACATTGTATTTCAACTACATGTATATGCAGATCTAAACGGATCCATCTGAAACAACACACAAACATACAACAGGCAGACATTCATGGCGACTTAATTTTACATCGCATACTTAGTAACAACATTTGGCAAAGAAAGTATTCTTAATGTCCTTGACTCGGTTGGCGGTCGATATCCAGTTATATATTAATGATACACTTAAACCTGCACAATATAACCAATCATGTGAACTGACATGAAACAAACCTGCTATATACACTATAATGGAAATCATCACATGCAGCACCGAGAATATTGGAACGCAACTGTAGCAAAACATTTGAACAATACACTTTCCAGTCTATCTCCAAAGATTCCCTAGGGGGTCTTATATATGACTGGTTGATAAAAGTTCATTGACCATACATACAACAAAGCGGTTCTTTTACAAGCACCGTCAATTGTCTGTGACTATTTCCATTGTTATTGACACATAGATGAGACATAGGGGGGGGGTGAAATTCTGAAATCAAATTGTCACTGCTGTAAAACTGTTCGACATTATCACTATATCAGTGAGCAAATGCATTACTCTTCAGAAATATATATATGTTTTAATTCGTGCGTGGACATGTCTTTTTTTTCTCGTTTCTGGCCCTGGCTTCTCTGTACGTTTTTTTTTTTATCTAAGCTTCGTGTGGGGGTCCAAACACTTGGACAATAGTCTTTTTGAGAAGACAGACCACAACATCCGTGCAGACACGGTATCCGTCATGTTGATCGGCGTCCGAACGCGTTCCGACGGTTAGTACTGTGGCCGACAGGTACAATAGTTTGTAACCCTGTTGACGTACAGCATCTATGGATTCTTACAATTTGCATATTAGTGTCAGAAACACCTAATGGCTTGTAGACAAATAGCCATTACTTTTTGGCACTAATATACATAGTAATAATGTCTAGATGTTACATTACAACAGTGTTACAATACGTTACATATGTACTTGTCGGCCACTGTAGGTTAGCTCTTTCTTTCCCATCTGCGCACATGGACGGTTCACATTGTGTGGTGATGAAAAGAGAATTGCGTGATCGTCCCACGGGACCTGCCCAGGCAACATATCCTGTCGCCCTTTAAATGGATTACACGTCGGACGGAATCGATACCACAGAAAGGGGTTTGGACTCCTTTTATCCAGAGATAAAAACGCAAGGTCGAGACCCACAAATCATACTGCATCAAACTGCTTTCTTAATTATTGTTGCAGATCAACAGGATATACCCAATATCAACTATTACGTCCAAAGGACGTGTTTGGAATATTCAAATAATGGTCACTGGGGGTAGGTGTAGCCTAGGTGACTGTCAGAAAGTGGGGCAAGTTAATTGTGGGGTTGTTTAACGACAGAACCAAGAGGTCCCGAGTTCGAAGTCACCAACCTTGTTCCCTTGGAAAAGGCACTTTACACGACTTTCCTCACTTTGATCAGAGCAAAAATGAGTATGCCAGAATGGTCGTTTATGATCGTGGGCATTAAAGAAAAACAACAAACAGCCAAGTCAGGAGAAGGTAGCGATCTCCCCATGCATCAAACCTTTGCTTGAAGACTGGCGAAAACGCACCCCATCACGTGTTGACTTTTCTATTTACGATGAAACGTCAGAAACATGATATCCCGGCTAATGGCCGCGGTACAATACACCTGAGCCGCTGTCGACTATCTCAGTAACCGGGGCGTCTATGGAAAGGTTAGCTCAAAAAGGGATTGCGACTTTAATCAACAGCATTATCGACAAAAAAGTGGTCTAACTAGGTTCCTTTAAAGCTATTCAACGGACGTAGCTTTCTGACTTCACTCGAACCATGTAAAATCCTTTATATTTTTAAATCACAGATTCCTCTCTGTGTATTCGTCAGTGGTTGAGGAATGTGGCGGTACAAAAACAGCCATAACGCCTCCCTTCCCTCGCGGATACTTCAACCTGCGTTTTCGAGCCATATGTTTAAGATATCACGGTTAACACTAGTAGGAGAAGTGCGCTATCTCATATTATAGTATTCACAGTGGTACCGGTAGACGCGACCCCTTCTGTAGTATTGTTTGTCTTGCATAGCTGTGCGGCCCAAGGGCTAAGGAAATAAGGACACGTACGGGCGAGGGCGCCGCCCTATACACCGGTATTTTGATTTTCGTTCGTCAGTACATAATCCTCTCGGTTCACGGGGAAGATTGCACGGATAGAACGAAGGCCTCTCCCTTTTGACGATCTCCACACGCTATGTAGACCTTAAGCCCGATGTAGTTAATTGAACAAAACACATAATACCCGCCTGAAGGATGTACGGACCGGCTCCCCACCGTGCAGACAGTTATGACAACGGAACCCGGGCGGAATGAGGTGTCACGGTCTACTCTCCAAGCAGAGGTTGGTGGGGAAGAAACTAACCTTTCTATCATAGGCAATGTTTTCTGTCGCTACGACGAGGGAAAACGGTGATGATAGAAAGGTCACAGATTTTCACCACCAACCTCTGCTTGGAGAGTAGTCAGGGGTTGTAGACACCTAAGTACCCCATGTCTGTACACAAGTACGGGGTAGCAAATTGGTCCCTGAAATTTTGTTTTCTCAGGCTCACTTTAACCTGGTACACATTGCATGAAAAGTTGGATTTATCAATGGTAATAAATACCAGTAATGTTTACAATATAAGGCTTAGTTTATTGCAAATACTAGTACATGAACGGGGGCTAATTGCAGGTACAAACAACATGTATGAAAAAATGAAATACAATACAATATAAATACTACTGGTAGCAAATAAAGGTCAAGTAATGAGATTCCGAACTTAACAAGGGTTGTAAATGAAATAACGGACTTGACTTTATTGACAACCATTGTAAAGCGAGGTAATGTGTACAAAGTAAACTCTTTTATACTCTCAAAGTAAACTCTTAAAACCTTTACTACCTTTGGTAAATCCGACTTTTAGTGTTGTGCTATAGCACTTGAACCCTTCATTTATTCATCGCCAAGACTGCTCCTTGAATGTGTGAAGAGAAGTCCCCTGCGCCCAGTTCTGTTATGCTGAGGTCACATTTCCAAACCGGGGCCCGGTCGGGCTGTTTCAATTAACGAAAAGTCGACAATTTATACATGTATCAATAATATACGCAAATATTTCCCATTATTAGTGTTTTCAATTTTTTTGTGCTTTGTCGTCTTTTATACCAAATTGTTCGTTCCTTAAGACTGCCTGACAAGACTGCCTGGCCCACCCCGGTTTGGAAACGTATTATACCTCATCATTATTTGGTATTTGGGCTCTAGCCCGCTCCAATGATGAGCTACGAGAAAGTTTCTGCACGTGACAGATATTGTAAATGAGCCCGGGAGGCAAGTTCAGCGTCGTGCGGTTCAGCCATGTGTGACTAATCGATCTGTTCAGAACCCTGTGTCCCTTTAAATCATCTCCACAAATATGCCACTCCATCTAAATGTACATGGTCTACACCAGTCAGTGAAATCCCAAGGGGGTATGCCTGTCTCTACCGAGTATTTCCTTGAGTCAGAACGCGAGCTTTGCTTAACTTGACTCGGGTAGAAAATGATATTTTTCTTATATCTAACGGATACTTAACGTCAATATATAATAACAATTTATCTGCAATAGTTTTTGTTCCGTCGATTTCAAGCTATCAAATTTATTCATACGCATAGTACTGTACCATACTAGTCTTTCCATTAACTGGGGAATTAAATTCTTTGCAACGATTTTAAACCAATTTCATTCCCTATCAACAGACTTAATTATGTTATAACTTACATTCAAGTGATCATGAAGATAAAATCGGAGGAAAATAATCATTTTGCTTGCTAACGACTTGTGCTCTAAGCATTATGCAGCAAACGTTCGCTGCATGCCGCATGACTTGCGCTTCATTTGAAATATTCATTTCATTTCTTCACGGAGCCGTACATATCCCCTGACCCTCGGCTGTGGCAGAGAATCGATCAAAGCACTCCACCTCGGGCTGATTAACGCAGAGGGGACATATTAGGCTACTGAGCAGGCACTCATCATTTACAACTGGCCTTGGGCGATCTTTTATTGTTTACTTGGTAAGGGAGGGGGTTTTCTTCATCAGTTAGCGGATTAGAAATGGTGCTACATGTCTGGAGATTCAAAAAAACAGAGAATGGTGATGTTATGAGCCCACAAAAAAGTTGGAAGAAAAACAAAGAAAATACTTAAGTTATACTATCGGAAATGCATCGGCCTATATATAGGTGATGAAACAAGCCCAATAGCAAGTTCGTACTGGTTAAGCTCATACTGAAAACTATACTTACCTTTTTTATTCGTCAATGATGCACTGAAATGCACTGACCGATTAAGTATCTGTATCTGTATAGCCGGTATAACCGCCCTTCGGCGTAACACACCAGCTTCAAACTATGTGCATATGATAATGTGTCAATGCGTAGTTTATAGCACTTAACATAATTTCTGTTCTTTGTTTCAGATGGAACAATGGCGGCCCGACAGTGGCCCCCAGGACTGTGGTGTCGCCCAGTAAAGTTCAGAGGAACCTCCTGCGGGAGAAGACAGAAGACCCGGCGGTCACCACACCGGCGGCCGTCTTCCCTACAGACCCCAGGGTCTTCCCCAAAAACAACATCCGTCAGGGCATTGAGAAGGAGGCAAAGTGCGTTCCATAGCACATATCTGCTCTCTCCATTTTACACATGCTTCCGATTTGCATAGACTATCCAAGGATTCCTTTCAACCACTATCTCACGGAAGAACGTTGACTGTCAACTAGTTCTGTACATCTAGAATGATGATGATAACAATGATAAGTTAGCAATAAATAAATGATCAAATAATAACTGATAATATATATTTGTACCGTAGAATGGTAATAAGCCTATCACATTTGTGGAACATGTTTTTAATGTACAACACAAACGTACACGAATAACCTGTCTGATTGTATCTTCAGCTTAAGGACACTAACTAACTAAGGTAACACCCTTGCCTCCACTGTTGAACACCTTACTCAACATCACCTAACCACATCTGTTCTGCTCCAGGGTTCTCCAGGTCATAACTTAGATACAAATACAAAACTCACACATGCACTTCACACATTCATTGCCCAATCAAAAAGATTCTGTGCCTCTTCCAGCTGAGCCTAACTTAACATTCATTTTTCTGTATAGTTATATAATAATTGATTTTAATTATAGATGTAATTTATATGAAAATTGTATACTTGTGTATAATCTTGCTTTAACTATTTATTGTTGTTGTTTTTTTACGTCATATGTACAGGTATGTGTTGGGTGTGCACGCTATCAGCATACTTGCTGCCTAGTGCACACTTTGTATTGTCATGTCACAATTTTGAATAAATAAAGGTCACATCTTTATCCTACAGCAATACGAAGTTTCCAGACCCTCCAATGGAAAGCGAAGTTGTAAAAACAGTCGTCACCTACAAGATGAGGGGAGACAAGATAATTCGCATCATCAAGAAATATGTGAGAAAAAAGCCGAAACCCCCGCCTGTCGTTGATTCTAATGGACAACTCAGTATAGATAAACCCGAGTTGAAAAATAACTCAGACACAAGAACTAGTAGGTCTGTTGCAGTTGGCACAAATGAAACTTCCAACAGTGAAAAAAGAATAGACCCTCCGGTAGTTGATAGTGCCAAAGGCGATATGCAGTCAAGGGATGTACCTGCCGATATTCCCAAAGCGGCTCCTGATCAGAGTGCACAGGAAGGATCAAGGTTAGGAGAAATGGAAAATACGAAGACAGACAAAGAGCCAGGAAAAACAAATGAGGAACTAAGACCGAATGCCGAAGGGAACGTGCCGAATGGGCAAAATGCACCGAGCAACGAGGAGGGAAATGAGAACAAAGCTGCAGATGACCACGAAGAGGCTGAGGACCCTTGCAAACCAAAAGACGAAGACTACGAACGAGATGTCACTACGATCGTTACGTACGCTAAAAAAGGAACCAAGACCATCAAAATCATCAAGAAAATCATCAGAAAACGGTTAAAACCAAAGCGGGTGTGGGAGGAAACCAACAACGGAAGCGCCAGGAACAACCTGCCGGAGTACGAGCAGTACGACCAGGAGCAGATCCAGGATCAGATCGACTTTAAGATCGACAACCGCTGTAACAACAAGAAGGGCTTCACGCAGAGGTTCGAGGAGGAGGTGGCTGAGATTGAAGAAGAAATGGAGGTCGGGTCTGTGAACAGGACTTCTCCTTCCAAGTCTCATAAACGGATGACCAAAAAAGACCTGGCGCTGAAGTACATTCTACCGGACGTGCTGAAATTTGTGACAGGAAATAGATCCAGCTGGAGGTTCGACTACAAGGCTCTGGCACAAAAGAGGTACGTCAAAAAACTTTGAGACACTTTCAGTGAGACGAGACAGTTTTTCATGTATAAACGTATAAAGTGTTTTTAAAAAATAGAATACGGCCGTTCAAATTTGTCTTCATAAACTGTACTGAGTCTCGTTTGCCCTACGATTCGAATTGCTCTACATATGATAGTAAAACAACACACTGATACATACGCGGTCCAGGTTGCATGAGTAGCCCAACATTGATGTAACAAACGCAGGCAATGTTACACACGCTTCATTTGATCCAACTGAATGCCCATTGTTGTTCTCAAGTGTGTTTATATTAGTTTGTGAACTTGTGAAGCAACCGACGTCCCCTGGCATTGCCGCCTTTGTCTACAATGCTCTTAACGAGCGGAACGAGCCATATCCATGAGTGTCCCCAATGGACCATAAATATTAACATGAAACACAGCGTTACACAAGAAATACATGGCATACGCATATAAGGGATCTTTTATTAATGAATAAAAGAAATGTGAAAAAAAAAATTAATCAACCGTTTTATCAGTCTACCTATTTTCCTAATCCGAGGAAAAAAAGACATTACTTAGACATTACTCCCACAACGTTCAATGTTGTATCGCTTAATAGTTCCTCTGAACTCTTATGACATTGCAGTATGGTCTTCTCCCCACAGATTTGACCTGGAGAGGACGTGTAACGCCAGAAATCATTTCTTCGTCACGCAGAAAAACATCCCGCTCGGCTCCAACTTAAGATATGACGTGTCCAACACGTCGGTCAAGGTCAACAGCACGCTGTTTGATACATTCCCTACGGTAGGGAAGAAGCTTTATCGTGTCTTAATCTGTTGAAAATAGTCCTCCTTGCCCGTATATTGATGAATGAATGAAAAACCTTTATTATGTACCTACGTGAAAGAAAGACAGTGTTTGTGTGTGTGTGTGTGTGTGTGTGTGTGTGTGTGTGTGTGTGTGTGTGTGTGTGTGTGTGTGTGTGTGTGCGTGCGTGCGTGCGTGCGTGCGTGCGCGCGTGCGTGCGTGTGTGTGTGTAACTGATACCGCCAGGTATTTCTGCACGCTTTGGGTAGTAAATGTATTAATATCTTTAAAGAATCTATGGATGTATTGCGATTATGTTTTGGTCTTCATTTTCCAATTCAAACCCCTAGAAATCAGTTAACCAACGTTGTCTATAAACAATCATACATATATGTACAGTATGTACGACGTTTTCGATTCCAGATCCTTCTATAATGAGAAAAGTGTACTCATCAGCAAAGTACTGTCCTTGTACAGGCAGCCCGTCTGGTCTAGTTGACCCATGAAAGACTGTAATGAAGTATTGATCTGCGAGCGTCTGTCACGTTATCGACCTCTGCCTGCCCCACTTCTCTATTTGGGTCTTTCTGGCACTTTTCTAATTAATTATCGTACTGCTGCAGTTGGCTGGTGTATTTTTAATTGGAAGTAACTGGCCGACTGCTATTTCTCGGCAATAACCTATTAAAGTCATTGAATATTGCATTTGAGCCACTGTAAGACATTGAATCTTGTTAGATACCCCGGAAATTAAAATCTATGCAGTGATATAAACGTAATTTCAAAACAATCTTAAATTGATATCATGAAAAAGATGACGATAACTATAAAGGATCAGTCATTGTATCTACACGAATATCTATGTATAGTATCATTTATGTATGTGTTTTTAAAAAGTGAATGATGTTTAATTATACAATTTCCACAAGGTACAATCTGGATGTATTGTGTTTTTATAGCACAAGGGAGGCAAATCATTAGTGGCTTGACAAAAAAAAAGAACCGTTGAAGTCGTGTTTGTCTCATATGAAAATCGTCTGTTTTGTGTTCTAGGCTATCCCGTTCGCTGACAAGATGTTCCCGCGTTGCGCAGTGGTTGGCAGCAGCGGCATCCTCATGAACAGTCGGTGTGGGAACGAGATCGACTCCTCCGATTTCGTCATCAGGTTCGTCACTACTAGATTAAACACCAAACATACTTGATTTTTTTTTTACAACTCCACAAACACTTACACTTTGCAATCTGGACGTTTACAACGTATGTGCACGTTTTTATGACAACAGTTTTATGCCAATTATGAAATATCCTCTTATTTTGTAACTTGTATTAGTGTCAATTTGTCTCTGGCATAAATCTTTACTTGTGTTTGTTCAGATTCAACATGGCGCCGGTGGGTGGCCGTTTCCGTGCCGACGTCGGGTCAAAGGTCGACATCGTCACAGTGAACGGAGACTCCATTAGATCACGGTAAATATACTCAATACGTACATCAAAGACTATCACCGAAATCCCTTCAGTCATGACAGTTGGCAAATATTATTCAAGTCATGCCTTGATTCTTGCCCGTCCTTCGCCTTATTAAGGATCTACCTGGCACGTTTGTCTACACCTAAGAATAAGGGAATTGCTTTAGATATATTTACTCTGTCGTAGACATGACGAAGGACAACTTGTTAGCCTGAAGATCTGTAATGAACAGGACATCCAAAGATGCCGTGCCCTGTGGGGATCCGTTCCGCCCTGATTGTTAGCGGGAACAGTGTTTGCGCCGGTCGGGTTTCCACTTTTCACTGTCACACCTGGCGTTTTGAGGAAACGCCCCTGTTTGTTGTTGTTTTCAGTGACGGCATATAAAGGGCCTGGCACTTCGGTGAGCCACAAAGAGTGAATTACTGCCTTAAGCAGTGGACTTATTTGCTTAACCCTTCATAGCTGCCACAGGAAAAATAATTTATCGGCATACTTTCTCTCCTTTCTCTCCTTTTCGCCTTCCAGTGCCAGGTTGTTCAAGAGTAAATCTAAGAAGAAATACAATAATTTTGTTGAATACATTTTCAGAAAGTGGCCATCAGAACTGTCTTTCATCTGCCAAGCTAAATATCTAACCGAAGAAATGACACAAATCTCAATGTGTCTTAGTTTTCTAGGCTTGCCCTTCATTAGCCTAAGATAAGCCTTGCTCGGCTTCTAGCCGTTTCAAAAGCCGATAGCCACTTGTCCGGCTGCAAATATGGGCCCTAACAAGGCTGGATCTGAGGCTATGACGTTCCCATTGTAGGTACGACAAGCTGGAGACGAACATCAGCCGTACCATGTTCACCACGTACGTGCGCCAGTACAACCGCAACACCCTGCTGTGGTCCGTGCCCTTCACCAGCGAGGCCCACACGGCATACGTTCTCCGGACCTACCAGGTGCTGAAGAAGGCGGGGGCGCCCCAGGCCGTGGTGTTCGCTAACCCCGGCTACATGGCGTGTACCAACACCTACTGGAGACAGAGGGGATTCACCAGGGCGCCTAGGTTATCCACGGGTAAGTAGTAAGTAGTAGTAGTACAATGTACTAGTAAGAAGTAGTAGTAGTAGTAAGTAGTAGTAATAGTGGTGGTGGTAGTAGTAGTAGCTAGTAGTACTAGTAGTAGCAGTAGTAGTAGTAGTAGTAGTAGTAGTAGTACTAGCAGTAGGTAGTAGTAGTAGTAGTAGTAGTAGTAGTAGTAGTTGTTGTTGTTGTTGTTGTTGTATTAGTAGTAGTAGGTAGTAGTAGTAGACCACATGAACACAGTTTCATTTGTTTGTTTATCCGTTTGTTTGTTTGTTTGTTTGTTTGTATCATATTCATGTTCAATTTCAACATATCCGCTGGCCATCCATGACTCACTGAACCTTACGTATCTCCCCAGGTATGTTCCTGACGAGTGCGGCCCTGCAGTTCTGTGAGGAAGTCTATCTGTACGGCTTCTGGCCCTTCCCAGTGGACACCGCGGGAAACGTGCTGCCCTACCACTATTACTCAAAAGGACAGAGGGGGCGACTCAACAAGTGGCACAAAATGGACGACGAATACGTCAACCTCATGGAACTACACAAAAAGGGAATACTTCACTTACAAACAGATAAATGCAGAGACTCTTAACAAAGATTTAAAAAGTTACATGACATTTATCGTCATTGAAAAATCCCACCTTACGTGCAGTGGATGTACATATATTCATCTTGTTACAGGTAGAATTGGATTGTAGACATTTTATCCAAAAGAAGGCTACATTTTACTGTCTTCTTCTTGTTTGTACATACATGTATATTGTCATTGCTGAAATTATAATCGTTTGTGACATGTTTCACAAATTTCTGAAATATTGCAGTATGAATGCTGCGTTTCTGAGCACAGAGATTTAGTTAAAGATAACAAAGAGCTACAGTGAATGTACGATATTTTTTCAAACACCTCGCGTGCATGTAACACCCTTACACCCATATCACCGAAGAGACAGAGCTAAGTATTCGTTTATATACAGTTTTCTCTTGCTATGTGTATGGAAGGTATGCAAAAGAGACGCCTATTGTTCAAGTATGGAAGTGCATCTACAGTGCTAACTACATTTAACATAAGGTGCAGTGGGGCTGGGGTCAAGAGATACTACTATCACCAAGTCTTTATATTCTTCATTGAAATGACTTGTTGTGTGATACGTAGTATCATTCAGGCCGTCAGCTTCGTATCCAAGCCATTTTAATCTCGATCCCCTACCCCCATACAACCCCACATGTACACAGTAAGATTCTCCTCTATCTGGGTTTTATATATGTATTTGTACAGTATTTTTAGTACGAACTAGGAGAGAAAACTTTTATCGTGTTGCTGCTCACCTTAAGCCATGGTTCCAGGTCTCACTGGGTGATCCAAAAGTGAAAATGCTGAATAAATGGGTTTATCATTATGACTGTGTCTGGTAGTCGTATGTACGTACCATGATGGTCTTTTGAAGCCTTCCCCCTATTGCCTTACCGTAAAAGAGAATTAGTGGCAATGTAAGACTGTCTATAAATGTATATTTCCAACCTATATGAAGTTCAGAAGTCTTTGCATTGCGTTCTGAGGAATCAAAGTGTAGTATCTCGTCTGACCAGCTTTCTTGGTCTGACCGCTCAAGGTAGCAGAACACGCGGGTCTGTGACGCGGGTATAGAAAGTAGTACAGCGAATATTCTTGAAGGCTGGGTAGAAAGCCTGATAAGAGCGTCAGCCAAATGTTAATTGTGCTGTGTGGTGTAGGAATGTATCGGGTTTGAGACTGTATGATTTGAATTGTGAAGGTTTTGCAGTTCGTGTATAAATGCGCCGTATTGCGCAACTGGCTTTCCGGGTGAGTCGGCTGCAGTTCAGGTCACGTCCCTAGAGGGCGATTTCAAAGTGTACGTTACGAGCAGATACGCCGACAGGATTTGTTGGTTTCTAGATATTTTGTAGTTTGTACCTTTTTCTCAAACATATTCGATTTTCGTATTTGTGAAGTGCACCCTACTATAATTTTTACCGCGTCGAAGCGAGTAATCTTGGGGTCCTTAACTATAGAAATCCCCATAGGGCGAAAACTGTGTTCTGCTACCTCAAAGTTCAGTGACCTTTTTAGTTTGAAAAGAAGAATAGGTCAACTGCTACATCTAGCGGGATGCTCATGAACTGCAAACCATAACCTTTGACCCACCAGCTGGCACGTCTGCCAGGTAAGTTCGCTTGCGCAGTCAGCTGGCCCGCGATGCATGTCTAATACACGCGTAGCCAAGCGTTCTGTCTTGTACTTAAAGATGAAGGGTGTTGTGGAGGTTAATTGTGCAAACTCTACTAGTTTTCTTTCTTTGGATTGCAGCAAACACGACTGCCATTGCGAAAACGCGGATTCACAAGTAGACTGATCTGTTACTCATTACTTACACGTACACATACTCATGCATGTAGCACTGTCATAATCCACACAGACGTACATTCGCCTGTCTACATGATGTCTGTCACTCACTCTTCCTGATTCACAGAGTCGTCATAGAGAAAGCCAGGCGCCGTGCAAAACTTGAAAATCGTTCTTCACACTGTCTGATTCCAAAATGGCGTCCACCAATCCGAAAGGTAAATAAAGTTGACAGCTTTTCTTTGTCATGTAAGCATGCAACTTCAACAACTAGACATGAATTATATGTATACTCCACCAAGGTGGTTAACCTACCTGTTCCACAAATAACCATTGTAGAAATTATGCTATCAAGCAAATAATGATTGCAATTTTAAAAGTGGGCATGTGACATGCAACAAAAGGAAATTGGGACTTACCTTGGTATTACCATGAACTTAACGTTAACCTTACGGAACTTGTTCATTTTGGTCGGGCTTTCGGCCTTCTTGTGGATGACTGACACAACTTTTTGGAACTTGTTGACCTTTAGTAGGGCACGTGACCGAGGTCATAGGTCAAAAAATCTAAATATGAAATGTTTAAACTTAAACTAAAGCATTCATATATTTTTCCTTCTCTTCTAGGACTATTGGACCGTCTCAGCAATGGGGAAACGGTGGTCGTGGCGGAGGGATATCTGTTCGAGTTTGAGCGGCGCGGCTACCTCCAGGCTGGGTCGTACGTACCGGAAGTCGTGCTAGATAACCCGGAAATGGTCACAGCACTGCACAGGGAGTTCGTGCACGCAGGAAGTGACGTAGTTCTTGCGTTTACGGTAAGAGTGGGTCATTAAAGTGTGCATTCCAATAAAAAGATTATATTTCATGTTTTCGAACATTGAAGAAAAGTGCAGAAAAGACTTCTGATTGAAGTTTCTTTCGGTTTTTCTTTCAGTTTTGCCGGTCACCAAGGCATGGTATTCAATCAGATTGTCCTTGCGTTTACAGATGCATTAAAAGCTCATAATTTGTTGTTTGCAATGTCGACCAGCCTGGTATGTTGATTTTCTGGTTTCCTTGGTAGCGTTCGGGTCCTTCGTATGATGCGTGTTTCTTTTCTATTTTCACTTCACCAATTTGGTCTAATAATTCCCCGTAAAACTCCGAAAGCCAAGAAATCAAAGTAGCCTAAGTACTAGTAACATATAAAAACCTGCAGCCTCTGTCATTCCGAAGTATTACGGACACCGTGAGAAGATGCGTCTGATCGGGAAGGAACACCTGCTGGAACCCATGAACCGGACCGCCCTGAAGCTGGCCCGGGAGGTGGCAGACGAGACCGGCACACTGATGGCGGGAAACATCTGTAACACCAACGTGTACGACTCTGCCGACCCTGCCTCAGCAGAGAAAGTCAGAGCCATGTTCAAGGTAAGTCAGCAAGTTTTCTTTCATAGTAAACCACTAATTCTTCACTCTAGGACAGTGCTCTAGGAACAAGACATCGGAGATTTCAGACTTGCAATTCTCGGCTTCCTCCCTTGTCGACCTCTGATCTTGTTGGCTCCCGGTCAAATTCTGACACGTCGACCCGTGACCTCCCTCCTGCCTGTCAATCTCCCCCACCCATTTGCTGTCAACCTATAGGTCTGTCCGGACAAACTTCCAGCACAAACAACCAAAACAATATTTCCGTACCCGAAAGTAATAAGACATAGCTATAGCTTCTGACGTTTAACAAATTGGCAAGAAGAGCAACGGTACTAAGATATTGACAAAGATTTTTTTTTCCTTCCTCAGGAACAAATTGAGTGGGCTGTAGAGGGAGGCGCAGATTATATCGTGGCCGAGCGATTCGACAACCTAGGGGAAGCCAAGCTCGCATTGGAGTGCATCAAGCAGTATGGAAAAGGTGATGCAAAAACAAAGCAGATATGGGTCCTTCACATGATACCCCAAACCTGACACAACAGGTAAAAGAGTAACTGCACCTAGTCCCATCCTCATGTTCGAGGGTCGGGGACCATGTAAGTCGTAAGCATATCAGTTTCAGTCTCTTCTATTCCTTCCTCTGTGTTGGCACTCCGCCTGTGCATGGTTTCACCGGCTTATCTCTGTAACGACTTATCTCAAGAAGAGACAACGATGCAGAATAAATGTTATACGTGAACACTTCAGACCGTTAAACTATTGATGTTTTCCCAATCCTGCCATGTCACCAACCTTGTGCCCTTGGGAAAGGCACTTCACACAACTTTCCTCGCTTCGCTCATGTGTTAATGAGTATGCCAGAATGATCATTATCATGATCGTGGGCATTAAAAGAAAAAAAAAAAACAACATTGCTGTTTGTTTTGTTGCTTGCAGGTTTACCAGCTGTAGTGACAATGATCGTTTTGCGGGACCCGGTGACCATCGATGGCGTTCCCGTCACAGACGCCCTGAAGCAGCTGGCGGACGGAGGCGCTGACGTCGTCGGCTTCAACTGCGGCCGTGGCCCGGCAACCATGATGCCTCTTCTCCAGGCGGCTAAGGGCGACATTAAGGTTTGGATAGCAAGATATCGTGGATATAGTTAATGTCTAACTATAATGTCTAACATCTAATCCGAACTTTCGGCAACTGCTCCGCTGAGGTTAAGCGTATACTCTTTGTAGCGCATTGTTCCCCCATGTACTGTGTACAACTATGGAACAATCATAGCGCAGGTGTGTTACAGAGGCTGCGAGTTGCTTACCATGATGCTTTCAAAAATTATTATGTCTCAGCCTCGCTCCACTAGTAACAGCTTGTTCTTTGCCCAGTTGGGTGTCGACACCTTCGACGCCAGGAGGCGAAAGCTGACGCACTCTTTTGCGGCTCGCCTCCTGGCGTCCGGTAACGGCATCATCAGTTTGCTCTTACGCTCTGATGCCTTCCCTAGAAGTCAGTTCTGGCGTCGATACTGCCAGTTGGTATGCAGACCTTAAATAGGCCCCGTTTCTTTTACCCTAGACATTGTATTTTTAAATTTATGTATTTTGTGTTGTCTATGTTGTCTATGGGCTTTGCCTGAGTCAAACAATAAAATAAATGTGTATATTGGACTTAACTTTTATTGGAACATGCACATGTTCTTTGACACTAATGCTTATTCAAGTGTGATATTATGGAACAACTGACGAATAGAGCTATAGAAATTGGCGTTCTTGTGTAGCCCGCAGTCTACCGTCTGTATATGTACCGTCTGTATCATCTTGTGGTTTGTTTTATCTCAGGTTCCTCTGGCCGCCATTCCTGTGCCGTATCGAACAAACGAGGAGAACCCCAACTTCATGTCCTTCAAGACCGAGACCGGTACAGACTCGTTTTTAAAACCTATTGTTGTGTACGCATGGTTAGGTAGAAAATTTTGGAGACCATGCGGAAAAATTCAAATGTCTTAAGGAACATACCATGAAACACAAGCAGTAATCCCATCTCTCCTCGGCCTGCTCTTTCGTTCCTTCATTTCTTAACGCTGCCATCCTTGTGCTCTTCCTCGCAGGAGGGAACGCCTACCCGCTGGAGCTGGAGCCGCACCTCTGCACCCGGTTCGACATCGCAGAGTTCGGCAGAAGCGCCCGGCATCTCGGCGTGCAGTACGTCGGGGTGTGCTGCGGGAACAGCTCGCACTACCTGCGCGCCCTGGCCGAGTCTCTGGGCCGCCGCCCTGCAGCCAGCAAGTACTCCCCCGACATGAGCAAGCACTACGCCTTTGGGACGGACGACACGCTCAGCAAGACGTACTTGGACGCGTCCCAGAAATTCTAGCTAAAACCCTGACCGTCGTGTATGTGTGTCTATGTCAGTACACTTGTGATTCGTCTTGCTGCTAATGTAAAATGTCTCGTTTCTTGTTGAATATGTCTTGTACCCAAGAATATCCACTCTTATTTGAAATTGCAAATAAATCCCCTGGCCAAATGAAACACATTTTCCCTCAGACCTGCGCCTTCAATAGTCCATACTAGGATGAGTGCGACGAGAAGGAAAGCTGAGAGATTCTGCTCGGTTGACAGACTGCCCAAGCCCTGGAGAAGGGTGTTAACTGCAGCCTAAAAAGACATCAACAGGACAAGATTTGTTGCTATCTCTTGTGATCTTCAGCCTATTCTCCGATACATGGTATTTACGTAGGCCTTAGCATAAATCACACAGTGATGCTACCATGCATAGACTAACTCCCCGTAACCTTCTGCCCAGCCTGTGAATGCGCACGTGTGTGTACCTGTAGGCGTCCATACATTCTTGCTACATAAATCAGATAGATATCTACAGCCCAGAATCCAACAACAGGACATGGCGCCATATGTTGGCTCCCGACCCTGGTTTCCCATATTTACATTTAGGAACTGCTCCTTTGATGACGTACTTCGTATGCACCAAGTGCGTCCACCGGCGCGTGAAATTGGACGCGAAGAAAATCATATTCCTATTTTTGGAGCTGCACCGTTCCTCCGCAGCACGCCAGACCATTAGTCTTGCATTTGGCGGAAGAGTATAATGGGCACAGGCATTCATTATTCCACGCTCTACGTGGACGTCTATTTCTGTACCTAAATTAAGCCACACGACATCGTGGGCAATGACCTTCCTGGCAACAAAAAAGCCGCACCGCAAAGTATCGTGGGAGCTCCCGTCCAAAAACGAACAGAGAAAAAAGAAAATATTGATTTTCCAAGAAGCCATTTGCAGAGCTGTCTCATTAAAAGCACTAGGTTGGCTTGAAATCCGACTTGTTCGCTCTACAGGGTGGCGGTTTTCTGCAGTCGTTTGATAGATGTGATTCGGCTCAGTATTCACATGTCGTCTGCAGGACTGGTCTTACTCTGGAGTGGCGGATTACGATGGGTTCAAGGTCCCTGGGAAAGTGACGTTTTGTTTTTGTTAAACTAGAAGCGCCGTAAAATCACCACATTGCTTCTCACTAACATAATGATTATGATTAGATATCCTGTTCTATTATTATTATTTTAGGATACTTCAGTGTCATATATGCAATGCCAATGGCCTTACATGGTATAAAATTGAATAATTGCAAATGTATGCGGTGAGCACGGCTGTGCAAAGTTCGAGCTTTTGATACATCGTCAGAAAACTGCGTCTCGTGTCTATGACCTTCCTCAGGACGACTGACCCAACGAGTTTAGGCACGTGACCCTCCAGACATGTGACATCCTCCTCAGTAAAGAGTCTACGAGATGAGCTTTGAATTTGTACTTTCTTTGGATTGAAACTGTAGACATAAAATGGCGCAGATAAGCCTAAGGTATCGTTAGGTTCAAACGTACGTCATAGTAAAGATGTCCAATTGTTCGTTTTTAACGTTTATTCATAACTCAGCACTTCAACCGACCACTCGTCCGCGTGCAGCTGCAATATAAAACGCCCGTTCCGGCTGACATTTATGGCAAATATATCTACTTGCTTTGCGGAATAGTTTCGTTTCTATGCATCCGTGCGAGAAAGTAATTACCAAGCAATTAGTTTTATTGCACAGGAATTGTAAAATGTGTTTGTAAATCAAAGAAGACGTTGATCAAGCGCAGCTAAAATATATTCTGTAGCGTTAACAGTGGTAAATTATGCAGAAACAAACAGGTTGTATCATCAGTGCAAAACACTGGCTGAAAGCACATCTCAAGAACGGAAATACACCGAATACCAAACAGTAACAGGACAACTGTAGAACGCGTACTAATTTTTAATTTTTTTATTTTAAAACATATTCAGTATCCAAATCATACTATATGTTACAAATCATTCATGCTTACATTAGGATTACAACTCAATGCAAGATAAGTAAAAAAATTACATATTTGAAAATAGAACATACCGTTGGTCGCATACTGAATTGTAATGTGCTGACCTGTTGTTTGACGAGACTGTTATTTTGTCCGATGGTATACGTAGTAATTATTAGAACATTATAAGAGTCACCATTTTAATGAGCGTTGTCCCCATAACTCACGGTGTCTGCGCCTGCAATCCGCCATCTGTCACGGATGACCCCAAATAACCCCAGTCTGCCGTGACGTCAGCATAACAAACGTGACGGCTGACGAGCACATCCTCAGTACGTACTGCACCTGCGCGAAACCCGTTATGTATTGTACGTAGCACTTCGGCAGAACGTCTCATATAAGGTCGTACGCGCGTATATAAGGTTGACATCCCGTCTGTAGTTTCCAAATGTTCAGTCGGAAAGGATATCGCCTGCAACAGGCAAAATTCTGATGCAGCGTTGAAAAAAATCAGGGTTTCGCGTAGGCGCAGGACGTTCTGCCGACGTGCTATGGCTGACGGACGATCGTTTCAAGCTGGTTGGTGCGGTGGAAGACAGCTGCTTTATTCTCCTTTCCCGCTCAATAGTTTAATAACAACGTAGCCTGAAAAAATTACAAGGAAACGCATGAGAATTGACAAATAATGGCGCAGAATGAGTCGGAGAGAAGAAGCAGCGGTTCGCACGGCGTCTCAGCCCGATCATTTGTGTCAAATTGTTTTCCACACGACGATAAATCGACTGCTGAACATGTTGTATTACTCCGGCGGATCTGCACAGACGTTTGGCAGCAGCAAATGGAATTTTCGTAATTACCAGCAATCAAACTGTCCTCGCGCAAACACGACGCACCGCCATATAACGTCAACCTTATTGAAATATGTTGCAAAATATCTTAAATTTGAAACGTATCAACGTATATTTATACATTTACATTATCTGTACCTCCCTTCTTTTTACCCAAAGAAAGCAGTGTTGTTGGCAGAATTATTAGCTTGTAAAAAATCTATGTATAATTCTGCACAGCGCTTTACGGTATGATTTAGAAAGCTTATTGCGGGTTTACAGTGCAGACCTACGTGCCCAGTTTGCCGGCGGTGCACGGTGAGAAACGCGGCGGGAGAATTGGTGGGCTGGAAGCATCTCGTATAAGCTGTGAACCTGTTTTCACCTTTCCCGGATAATAGAAGTGTTCATTGCCACCATATATCACCGAGTACGGCGTTCCCAGAGGCTTTTCCTCACAAAATGAAATGGAAAGTCATTTCTGATATTAAAAGGGGCCGGCCGTTGTGTATTAGGTGATACGGGACCGCATGCTGTTGTTTTTTGTTGCAAATTTTAAACTAATTTGTACAGCTTTTTTTTTCTTCGGGTTTTAAATTTGCCTTCAGTGGATTCCATCAATCGATTCGTTGATCCCTGTAAAACGGCACGCGTGGTTTCATGAATGCAGTCATAAATGTTTCCAAAATAAAGTCGAAGTAGCAAAACCAGCGTCATTTCCATCCAATTCAATTTTTCCCTGCTTCCATATCAGGAAAAAAACGCTTCGCCGATTTCTTTCCGAGGCGCACACTTGAGCGAAACGCTTCATTTTTCACCGTGCCTCAGAGGATGCTTCTAATGTTGTTACGCAACTTCGCTTCCTAAACCTACTGTAGGCGTCTCATGTAACTACATGGAATACAATTATATAGAGAAAGAGAAAGGAAACGAGTATCGTGACAGATTAGAGAGAAGAAGCGGTGTAAAGTCGTTGCCCTTCCGTCATGAGTAAAACATGAGACCGCGACTCTACTTTTAATAACGGTGTTAGTATGCAGCAGCCTCCTGTTCCGGCCCGCAGATTCGCACATCGGGAAGACACGCTTTCTGCGCTGAACTTTGGGCCTTTTAAAACGTGAATCTATTAAAGGGGACGAGCCATTAATCTGTAGGGTGGCGTCAAGTGGCGTGGGAATGGGAACAGCAGTAATACCATATCTGTCATATTTGCCATGACATGAAATATTAGTTTTTTTTTCAGGAAGTTTATATTAGACAGTTTCTAATAAAAACAGATTGACGTGATAGTTATGCATACTTGTTATCAGGTGAATTTGATAATGAACACACAAAAGCGACACTTTTGAGATATGTCGAGGAAAGGCTTATCCTGAGCTATAAAGAGAGGAGACGGACGCCCCATCTTAATCCGTCGGTGTCATACCGGAGGAGTAGCAATGGACCCTCCTGATTTACGACTTTGTAGTATCAAACGCACTGCAGCACTAAGGGGACCGACCGTTCTCTCTGAGCGACCGTTAGGTCCAGTTTCCTGCATTTGAATATTTCTTGCCCTGATGAGGACAGGCATAGGATATGCATGCAAATAGCATTTTTTACAAAATCGCGGCATGCACACGCTGTGTGTGTGGTTTGCCAGTTTGCAATAGCTCTCCTTTCTACCTACATACAGGGAAGTTTGAACGCCTATAGCGCAATTATAACGACGAAACGACATTGAGCTTCCGTATGCTGCTAGCAATCAACATCAAATGCCTTGTAAAAAATAACTAGAAACTGAATGTCGGAAGAGGAGCGCTAGCATTACAGTAGATATTGGAAATATAATACATAAAGCATAGACGAGGCAAAATGCACAAAATGGCACTGTGTTCAATCAAGGAGCTACATACAAGAATTTATACAACATAACAAGATGGAACCGATTTAGAATGACAGGCTTTATCTCAAATGCTGATGATTGACGTCTGTAGCACACCAACTAAATTGCTTGCACAAAATATTATATTTATTCCAAACCACGGCTGGGGCTTACATGGCTGCATCCCTGCACAGCGGCCGGCGCTGATTGGTCAGCGCGGGTACTTCCATATTTGGTTGTTTCCGCGGCTCGCTGTCACCAGGCTTGTTCCCGGGAATGGCGATGGAGGAAAGAGCGAGGATGGAGCCCAAACATCGCCCAGCTGTCCTGCTGGTTGTCCTGTTTGCCTGCCTCTTTTCCTCTGCCCAAGCCGGGTTTCTGGACTCCATCACCAACTACAGTAAGTACATCTTTCTTACAAGACTGTCTCCGGGAATTCTGGCAGTTAAAAACACGTCGTTCCTCTTCAAGGTGTGCGATGCGTAGGTTGATGCAGAGAACTGTCGATAAAACTTCTTCACCAACCTTGATCATAGCGCACTGAGTTGGCGACGAACTGCGCCTGATATGCTACATTTCGATACACATTTGTCGAGTATTCATGTAGCGAAATATCAAGCCATGTTGCGCATCGCTTTGACTCTTTACTCTTACAGCTGCTGTTAGTTAGTATTGACAGTGTGGCACACACGGTGTTTGGGGCCGCAAGTTCCTATGCGTTGATTTTGTATTTGCATTAGGTTTACGAAGATATTGCCACTCATCATAGTTCTTCGAATCATTGTTGCTGGCAATATTTAAGTAAATTATTATATTTTATCCAAAGAAAAATGTACCGGGATGTAGCGTATGTTGGATCAAGAATATTGGATCCAAGCGCCAAGGCTGAAACAACCATCCTATATCTTTGTGCGGGCGCACTGAAAACTCCTGAGCTCCCTTGCCGTGGCTTGTCGTTGCCGTGTGAAACCCCGCTCGTTCTTTTATTATAGAATCGCGGGCTCTCATCTAGCTGGCGTTATGAGTTACTGGCCATCGATTCCCGACCTTGGGATCGGACCTCTCTCCCCGGCCAACCGCTCCCGCTCATTCCGCATTCAAACATGTTCCTCGCCGTGTCATCAGCCGTACACACGCAGGGGCCAATCTGAACAAACGCAAGTTCATGGCGATATCTAAAATTCCATCTACCGCTCCTAGTCGATAGAGGAATAGGAAAAACGGTGGCTCTACCTTCTGCTAAACATAGAGCTGCGTTTTCAGATGAACGAGATACACGCAGTGTGCGGTTTGCCGTCAAGGCACAGCAAGGTCTGATCGAGGGAAATGTCCATGACTTAAGAGGAGGCCCTATATGTATTATCAATATGGGAGAATCCAGCTTCCTGGAAACCTTTAGCATTGTGACATATTAGGATGCGCTATGACATCACCATTTACCTACCTTTTTTTACTACAGGGACGTATACACTAATGTTTTAGCCTGGGCCTGAATGGATTTTTTTTCATACTTTCTCTTTTATATTCTCTTGAAATATTTTCAAGACGTCATTAATCTGTTAGTTTATACAAAAATGTATTACCATATGGACTGCTAACATCTTACTAAGTCAAATGAAACTGTTCATCATCGATATCTGATTTCATTCCGTCTTAGACATGAAGACGTTTTCTTCGCTCCGCACAAATCTTGAAGAATGCCGTCCTCCCTGAGGAATTTTCCAGCTAGATTTTATCCAAATCGGAAAGATCTCTGGAACAACACGCCGCGTTAGTTAACTGCGCTCCCGGCAAGCGTGTTCTCTTTGGACGATCTCCAACGGGAGATACGTTCTGCTGATCGTCACCGTACACAACGTGCCGTGATGAAGATTACCTTTGTAATCGCCCTCCTGCAAAGATGACGGCTGAGATTTCTTATCGGCGCATAAGTCATGAGAAAACTGCCGCATGCGTGCCGATGTATCTAATCGCTGCCGCTACGTTAGGATACAGCTAATACAAAAGACGGCCTCGAGTGTGTAGTATCGATTGTAGCCGAAAAAGGTTTAGGCGGTTATTGTTCTTCGGAAAATCTATACCGCAGTTGTTTCATTATCACTTAATTAAAACTATCAATTCTGGTGGAAGCAGGGAAGGAAGGGATCGTGATGGATGGCCCTTCACCGCAGATATCTGTCGGGAATGCCGTGGACTTGGGGCCGAGGGAATGCCTCGACTTTGAGAGTCTACAGCTCAGTGGGGGGAGTGGGGGCGTCTTGTTCTGGCGTACACTGCGCGCCACGGAGAACCTTTCTCAGTCCTTCTCCTGCTCTCTGAGCTTTCCCTCAAGTGGGACAACCTGCTGCTTCTGCCTCTGAAGTGTTATGCTGGTCTAAAAGCATTCCTGCACTGAGAAACTGTTGATAGTAAAATCCCCTTTCGGCCAAAGCCTGGCGATACACAAACATCGCCCGGCAGACAATACTGTATGTGTATATTTCTCCAAGTAAAGTAATGATCTTTCTTACGTCATTTGGGTATGCTTGGGAATTAAGCTGTGCTAGTCATGTTGTTTTTCATGTGCTTACAATGTGTATTTCTTATTTAAAAATTTGGTGTTAGATTGTATTCGGTGGAATGTTTTAAGCGATAGGCTATTTTTCAAGAATATGTGTGTATGTATAGCAAATACTACATTTTAACATCCAACATTCTCCGTGTCTACAGAAGTAGATATGATTTTACGGATCAGTTTCCTCCATTTTCCTTCATGGCTCCTTTCGTCTCCCTTTTCTCACTAATCGCCTGCCGTTGACCCGATCTCTAAGAGATGCTTTAAGTCAAGTGCACCACTTTAGCCCCCTCCCTAATATACCCCGCCCGGACATGTTCCGTGTCGGCTGCCGTGCCTCGGACGGCGTTCATCCGACGTGACTGACAAATCTAATGGTCAGGCTTCTCAACTCAGACCCATTTGGATATAACTTCAGAGGAAAAGTCCTTTTGCAGCACCTACTTTGCACGCTTACAGGTTTTCAGAAGAAAGCTTGCTTTCAATCAGCCGTGCAGAGAGCATATTCAGCCCCAGGTAAAAGGGAGCTAAAACGCCTGATGCATGGAAACGCCATAGGGGAAGTCTCTGTGTGGATTATGGCTTGGAGATGGAATGGATGGAATCAAGTGATTTGTATTTGGGAGTGCTTTAAGGAGCTACTGGGGGCTTCTGTGATGGCTGAGAAAACCTGGAGTCTGAAAGTCGTGGGCTATACCATTTGTCCACAGCAGGTCTTATTTTCTCCTCTCTGATTTTTCATCGTTTGGTTAGGTGTTTGGTTAGGTGTTGGTTGGTTGGTTGGTTGGTTGGTTGTGTGTTGGTGTGTGTTGGTTGGTTGGTTGGTTGGTTGGTTGGTTGGTTGGATTGCTCGCTTGCTAAACAACAAACTACATTCTCTGCTTAGTAATTCCATGCTTTTTTGCAAAACCGGTGCGATCGCTGGAGGCTGTCTTATGTGACGATGAATGTGAAGGTCTCAGAGTCGATACCTGCAGTGAACAGTGAAAGTTGAATAATTTTGCTGTGTACCAAGACTGACATGCATGCACACTGTACATGATACACTCAGAAAGCGGAAACGAGCTTCTACTGCGCAATTATGTTCCTCCCAGTCTCTGAGAAACCATCCGAGTAAAGCGTCCTGACAGAACGCATCCAACTCACAATATGCCTGTTCAAAACTACACTTAGACCAGCCAATATTTACCTACCCGAAACGCTCCTGCAATAAATGCACAAGAAACGAAACAGCCTTCCGTACAAGTTAATTTTGTCGGCTGTTTTATATAATAACACCCTAGCGCGTCCTGCTCGCAACAATAGATGACAGGAATTAACACAAACGCAGCCTCACTTAAATCGAAGGAGACAGCAAAAACAGCTCGATGATGAAAGGTTCCTAGTTATTTCATAAATGCACCTGTGGTTCCGCTTTAAGGCATGGTACTGCATGCAAATTACGCGTAGTTGGGAATACAAAGCTCGCCTGTCGGCAATTTCCGTGGTTTGACAACAGCTTATGGAGGCACCTTTAGTCCTGATTCCACGTAAGAACGGTGTTAGCCCTGTGCATACCTGGTCTCAACACAGATTTAATACAAGGTGTTTGACAGAAGGGTATTCATGGAAAGATGCACATCTCGGGGAGGGATAAGAGAGAAGCTTGCCAAATTGACTCACCCAGTCTTGTGAAGGGGCGCATTTGAAACGTAGAATATGTAGGTTTTGTGAGGTTAGGCTTTAAAAGGTTACATGCTTTTCATGTTTAACGTTATCAAAGTTGAAACCGTTGAATCATACCTACAGCTTTGCATTTAGTTTTCAGCTGTTTTGAGTAGATAAACTTCTGTTGTTAAGTTTTAGCTTTGCAACTAGAGATATACCACATCATCTTTGTTTGCCGTTACTTACTTTTGACTTGAAGCGCGCGGGTTGACCGTGTTTCCCCGGTAGTGTCTATCATCTTGAGTGGCCTTTATGTTTATCCCCACAAGTAGACCGAACCGTCCGCTGGGTTCTCCCCATGATTGATGGGTCCTTGTAACGACTGGTTTACATTGAGCTGATTAAATGTCCAGTATCTGTAGAAACTCATAATTAGATTACCATTACCGCTGATCCGTTTCGAAGTGAACTGGCGCGTACATCTCTGATGACGTCAAACCAGCCAAGAAGAAAACACTCTTGCCACCAGGGCGTTACGTTGCTATGTGATATCTGCCATGATTAAGCACCTTGATCATTCTTTAAGTAGATCTAAAAACATCTAAGATGTTAATTTCAAAACCACCGGTTCGCATTTTTCATACTTGCGGATGTCCGTCTCCGGACTCTAAGCATCATGGGAATCTCGCGAATCCTCGCGAAGTCACGCGAGAACGTTGATGATCGTGCGCGATCATACCGATGACAAGGGGAATTAGCACGGTGAAAAGGGCACCGCATCTCTGGCTCTGCTGATTCGGTAGTTCCATCATGCTTCTCCATTTACAGCATGACAGCCTGATATTTTCTCGGCGCCGAAATCGATCTGCCGTTCCATCTTAATCGCCTGGCCGCTGTTTTGGAAAGGGCGGATATCTAAGCACTACGTGTCACAGCCTTCGACAGGAACAACGTACTGTTAACGACTGGAAAAATCAATTACTATCAAGGTTATCACTTTAACATAATGAGGACAACTTTCGTACGTATGCTTCATCGGAAACTGACAACGATTTATGTAAATATTTCTGTAGGGTTTCCTTCCAGATAAAACATGGCTTCGGATTTTTGACAGTGGGCTCAATACCAATTTAGAACAGGACGTTTAATGAGAGGTTTTATATTCCTTGTGCCATCCCGTCTCCAACCAGTCAGAAATG